CACCACCACCTTTACCAAAAAAAAATATTTGCCGCGAGTGTTTTTTGAAGGGAGTCCACTTTTCAGCCACTGTTTGTGCGTCCCCATGTCACCCACTTTCCTTGTCCGTACTGTGTGGACGCGGATGTGGTTCCCCCCCGCTTGCGGGGGGGTCAGGGGGGATCCGCGCCAAGGGAGGACTTGGAAAGTGGGTGAACGGTGCACAAACAGACTGTTTGAGTGTGTCTTCAGAGCCTTCTTTTCAATGCTCCGTCTTTCTCGGTTTCCACTGACTCGAGGTGAATTTTCGGCATTTCTTGAATTCGGGAACCAGACCTAATATCTTCCCATTTTCCTAATTACTATAATTTTAATTTGAATATGATTCGAAATAGAAAAAATAAATCTATTTTAAGAGGTGGTGGTGGTGGTCAATGTAGGTCCCTATTTTTTTAGTCAATAAAAAAAATATTTACCATAAATGAATAGTATTTAAATAATAATTAAATGGTATCTAAATAATATCTCGATTCACATACAAAATAAATTAACATTGATAAGATTTGTAGAGTTCGTCACCCATTTTAAGAAGAGTGTCTGGGGGTATAATGATATTGTCAGGCGTTTGAATTTCAGTAAAGCCGATGTTAGGGTGGCCCAAATGTGTGACGTTGTACAACGGGAATATATCGAAGGAGTATTCATAGTCGAAACAAATCGAGATGAGGCCAGCCAAGATGTCTCTTCTCCACAATTTTGCGTCGAAATTTGTTTCTCCGAAGCGTTCGTTTAATAAGAGGCGCCCCCTTTGTATTAGTAAGTCGCATGTATACACCTCGAGAGAGAGATAAATGGTTTCCACTCCTTTTGATGACATTTGTGCCATCGCGTTCTCATTTAATAACAGCAAAAAAAGAATCCCACAACTCGCACGCTCAGTGTATTCATCCACTAAGGTATCTACTTCCATTCAAATCTCCGTCTCTTTGTTTTAAGTTCACTCTTCTTCCAAAAAAGACTCGAGCGCTCAGTCTTGAGTCTTTCTTTTTTTGTTCTTCACATGTTCTTAGTATAGTTCATTTACTTTATAAATATAGTTACTTTTTGTCTTGACTTATGGTTTAAATATGGTTAGTTTTTAATAAAATATAATAAATAACAAATTCTAGTATCAATAGTTTATCAAAACTAATAATGACCAATCAAAAATATTGAAGAAATATTATATTTATTATTATGTTTTTAGTAAATTTAATCTTTACTATTAGTAAAAATAATATCAAAAGTATGTTTTTTTTAAAAAAAGGTATTGCAATTAATTAGTAAAATTATAGTATAATTACTAGTTACTAAAATTTTGTTAAAGAAGGTAAAGAGAAACAAAAATGGACACCACGAATTTGAGTTTATATTATTTTGAAAGTCAAGTTCTCTTGAGAAATAAAAAGTCGAACTTTTGAAATTCAAAAGAAGTGATGGATAAGAGACTTAACTCATGGCCACAAAATGTCCCAGGGCAGTACTGGGTTGATAAGAAATGTATAGACTGTGGGAATTGTCGTCGTCATGCACCAAACAACTTTGGCAGGATTAACAATGAGATCCATTCGTATGTGAAAAAGCAACCCATGAATGACATTGAAATCGAACAATGTGAGAAGGCGGTGGTCTGTTGTCCCGTCCACGCAATTCACAATAATTGAATGACTTTCATTTCTTCGTTAATAACATCAACCTGAATTAAATAACTTGAATTAATACACATAGTCATCCAATGGACTTATTTTCAAATCTCACGGTGTTGCTTCCAAACAACTACTCGACACATAGTATTTCTTCACATTCTTTTGCCCAAATGTCCCCGTTAATATCCCGTTAAGTAAATTCTTGGCTTCAAACACTCGTTCTTTATCACATGAAAATAAGAGAAAGCCGTAGATACTCCCGATCTTCAAGACACACTCCCCAAACTCGACAACTGATAACTTCAATTGCTCCAACACTTCCTTTATATCGTCTGACACGAGTGCAACAGTGATGACCTCTTTCTGGGAATCTTTTTTATCTCGCGCTTGTAACACAAAAGGTGTCGAGTAAAATGGGCCCCCCGGCAGATCAAGACACAAACAGATCCGCGAGTGCTGATGGTTTCGCGACGATGAACAGAAGCTTTTACAGCAGTTGAAAGTGTACTTCTCCATCCCGTCATTGATGGTCGATGGGCCTATTTGTAATTCATCAAAGTGATCGATCTCCACTAAAGCCCTCTCAGGGTTACACACAGAACACGACGGAATGACTTGTTTGTCTGTTTCGCGGACACAAGTCATCGAGAAGCACGCCTTAATAATTGTCTGTGCCGTCAGTCGATGGAACTCTCGCCACGACGTCGACATGACAATTGTTGTTGTGAAATTCCTATGACGGAAGACCGTCTGTGTCGACAACGAAAGGATCGGACATCGCATATTAGTGGGCGGTTTGGAGTTGATGTGGAGATACGAATACATCGAAGAGTAGAAAAGTCGGGTGATCGTATTCCGAGTTGAACAAAAGTATCGAACGATTCGAATTGGGTTTTATTGACTTTTTTATTCACTTTTTGGGTTTTTTGTTTGCCTTAATGTCTCGTCGTTTCGGACAAAATCTCCCTGTTTGGGAGATTTTGGGAGAAAAAGTAGAAAACTCATTTTTTTGTAGTTTTTTCTTATACGATTTTTTTTTTCTTATACTCACTGAAAAAGACCTCAATCAGTTTTCTTAATTAAAACATTTGTTATTAAATATAGTTTATTTTAATTATTTGTATAACAATTGTTATCGTAAATATAGTTTTTATTTTTTTTAATCATCTTCTAGGCATTTTATTGAAGTGTGATTGGTTTTTGTTTTTTTCCCGAATTATTACAATTTTTTTAATTACTTTAATTGTAGTTTTGTTTTCGTGGTTTTATTATAACAATTTATTAATAGAATAACATAAACTAATAAAATGTCATTAATTGTATCTTTATTATTTCTTGGTAGTTAAAAAATAAATATATTATTATAATTATAGGATTTGTCTTTATAATAGGCTTTTAATAATATAATACTAACAATGATAATATATTTTAATTACATTTAATATATTTTAACTATAAATAATTCGTTTGTTTTGTGACTCAGTTAATTAGAATTATTAAATTGTTATAACAAACTGTAGTTAAATTTACATTTATTTACACTTAAATAACTTTTTAGTTTTTTATGTTTCTTGTTTTTAAAGGGATGTGTAAACAACTTTTGGTGTTTTTCCCTTTTTGGCTTGTGTAAATATAAAATAATTATAAACTTCTAATTTTTAGGAAAAGTATTTAATAAACTTGATATTTCCCATTTTTTAGACCTTTTGATTTTTGTTCTTTGTTTTTTATAAACAAAATATAACATAGTTTTATTAAAAGTTAAACAAACTATTTACAATAATTCTTTATAAAAAAACAATATCTTAGTTATACCACCTATCAATTAATAATAAAAATACCCAAGAAATATTTCAAAACCGTCGTCGACTTTTTTGAAATTATTTGAATCGAAGAACTTAAAACTCGACGTGATGCATTCTCTTCAAATAATCCTCGACATATCGAACAATCAAGACGAGCGCCCCACTTACAATTTAAAAGCGACTTCCATTCAAGATGCCATTGACCAGTCTATTGCCCATTTCAGTGTGATTGGTGTCTTTTATTTAACAACAGAAGACAACATTCCCTTGACCTCCTCCACCTTTTCCCAAACCAAAGTCGCTGTGATGAAGATTTCTCCCGCCTTCTTAGCTCGACAGTCCGTGATGAAATTAGAAAAGTGTGAGACTTCCACAGACCGCGACGAAGCTTTTAAAGCGGTGATCGACAATTTAAAGAAGCCTTCCTATGCTCGAGAGTTCTTTAAGACTTCAACGTACCCTCCACCCTTCACACATGACAATGTCCCTCTTATTAAAGCCGGAATGCTCTACGTCGATGGCATAAAATTACTTTTAAACGACGAATATGTCCTTTCTATATACACCGCTCTCTGCTCCACTAAGAGCGACGACTTCCGTCTCACCTCCGCAGAAATCCTCACCGTCTTGTGCGTCTCGGGTGGCCAAATCTTCTTTGTTTACGCCGCTAAAGTCTACGCACAGAAACACGAGGAGGAAAGATATCGTGCGCTGTGCCAATATATCACCGACTCTAGATTGGGAGCCGTCATCCTCGCGCTGCTCCTTGCTGTGTTAAAGTGCGCGCCGGAAGGGCGGAGAAGTCGCATTGTCGCGGAACTGAAGTACGTCGGCATCGCTGACTTGGCAAAGAAGTTGAAGAGCTACAAACCGCTTGTGAGCAACTTTGAGAAAGCTTTAAAGGACGATTCGCAGATTGTGGAGTACGAGAATATGGCGAAGAAGCAATGGAAGTTCATAGGAGAGATCCGGGATGAGGCGGTGGGCTTAAAGCATAGGAAGGAGAGACTGAATATTGAGATGGGCCGAGCAATTGAAAGTTCTGACGAGATTGGGAAATTGTGGAAAGAGCGGACGGTATTGCTGAATCAAATCAGAGAAGAAGACAAAGTGATGCAAAAACACATGGAAGTGAAGCCAAATTTATCGGTGACAATCCGGAAATTGACACGTGACAACTTGATTGATGAGATTGCAAAGAACGAACGGGATATAAAAGAATTCATGCGGGAGAAAGAGAGATATTTAAAGGAGCTGGAAAATGAGAAGAAAGAGAAACTAACGGGCGAACCACAAGTCACCGTCGATGACAAAAACGCCGTTGTGGACCACTCCGAGGCACAAACAAGAAAGACCCCAAGAGGAAACTTCTTTGGGAAACGATTGGGACAACGATGCACTGGGAAAATCGGAACGATGTCTGCGGCGGAATCGAATATCACTGTCAATGTCCCTCTCCCCGAACTGAAGTGGAACAAAATAGTCCCTAAAGGGCAGAAGAATCTGTGGAATGCTCTTCCAATTAAAGACATCTCCGTTGCGGATGTTGAACGGTCGTTCAAAACAGATGAACAGTTTGCGACAAGTCCCTCTTTTGTACAAACCAAATACGTCGACCTGTGTATTCTGAGAAACAAATTTCCATCAAGCGTCTCACTTGCACTTGATATCACCAATTTCTATTTCAGACTTTTGAATGAAAGAGACGCTATTTTCATGTTAAAAACATTGAAAGGACTCCATTTGAGTGATTTGGATACAACAGATGGCGGGAAAGGCGTTGAAGGGTGGCTTCGTCCTTTATTGGAAATCCCCGCATTTCAAACGAAGTTAAAGATGTGGGTCGAGTCGATGCTGTTACAAACGCAAGTCAACAAGATCTTCCCAATGGTCAAAAATTGCCAGAAGGCACTCGACATGGTGAAGACATCAAGAAACTTCAAGGAACTGTTGTCGATCATTTTGTCGACTGGGAATTATTTGAATAGCGACTACCCATCAATTCGACAGGTCGACGGATTCCAAATTGATCTCCTCATCAAGTTGAAAGAGACACGTTTGCCCCAACAGCAAATTGGGATGCTGGAATTTGTGCTGAAAATGCACCCAAATGTCGAAGGGTTGATTGAGGAGCTTTCACTGGCATCAAATGCAAAGGTCGACTTTGACTATTTGATTGCGGAGTCGAAGAGACTCACAACTAAATGCGCGCAGCTCAAACAGATCATTCAAACAGAACTCGTTCCACTTCCCGGAAAAGAGCAAGAGAACATCGCGCACGAGATCAACACAATGATGGTCAAGGTTGTTGCGCTCAGAGATGAGGTCATCAAGACAGCCAAAACGTTTTATCAGACCATGTATTGGATCAATGGAATACCTTCTGTTGCTGTGGAATATACACCATTCACATTCTTTGGGATATTAGAAGATTTCAGAAATCAGTGCATAGGAATCCTTGAAGACAAAACTGAGCTAAAGCCGTCAATTTCATTGATCACTAGAGCACAGGCCGAAGTCATGAAGAGAGAAAAGACGCTTAAGATAGAAAGCGAAGACGATTTGTTGGCTGTAATGGTCGATTTGTTGAAAAAAGGTAAAATCAAGTCTTCCATTCTTCGTAAAATCCTCAGTTAGTTGTGGCGTAGTTTCCAGTCTATTTTTATGAATGGGGATATCAACTTATTGTAATACATTTATTATATAATTAACTATTTAATGAATTAAAAATATATATTTATATATATAGAATTATCTAACCAATTATATATATATTATAATTATAATATATATAATATTATATAGTAATACAGTATGATAAGTTTGACTTAAACGACAAGTTTGGGTTAAATGGTAAAAATTATAGTTCAATTATAATATTTTTCGAACTATAACCTGAACTAATTAATTGCTTTTTTATAACCAAGTTTATATAAAAAATTAAATAATTATAACCAAGTCAAAAACCCAAACACACTATATAAAGAATAAGAAAGCTATAAACCAGTAAAGATACAAATAAACTACTACATATTCATAATCATCATCAACATTTTAATGTGAACTTAACAATAAAGTTTTATTAATATTTGACGAATAAAGTAACTATAATAGTTCAAATTCAATTCAATTATAAATACAGTCTGACTTCTCCAGAGTGTGTAATTATTATTTTTGTTGTTCTCTATTATTTGGGCATTTCTTAAGAACAAACCCGAATATAACATAAACTTGCTTTTTAAAGAGTTGGTCCACGTTTTATTAGCCAAAATCAAGCTAATATTTTTAACAAAACCCACTCTTGAAAGGTTTGGCAGTATTTCCTTTCGTTGAATTCGTTTTTATGGATATTATTATTATTTGGTTAAGTTAAAAGCGGTATTTCCCCGTCGCGATAAGAAATACTGCTAATTTATCGTATTTGCAATAAATATAAAGTAACACAAACGTTTTCGAATGAAGTAGAAAATGTTTGACGTATTTGAACTCAACGAAACAAACACGTTAAAACATATAAAACAATATTTAACATGTGTTTTGGTTTTATTTTTCAAGATCAGAGTGTAACAGAAAACAATAGAATTAAAAATAATTTAAATATTATTTTATTTAACCATTATATTTTTTTCTAGTTTAACCCACTATTTACTATAATAATTGGTTTTTAAACCATTAACATGAACCATTTAAGTCAAACTATTCCATTTAAGGCAAACTTGTCTAACTGTATACACACTCTTAAATTCAGTTTAATAATATATAGTAACCTTACGACATGTACAATTTGATGACGTCCTTATCAGTGACATACCCCATCTTCCGCATATTCACGGCAACCTTCTCGTGCTTGAACCAGGCTGCTGAAGCGAAGAAAACGCAGACGAGTATGACAAATAAGACACTGACAACTACCGCAACAACAAAGACGATCATTGTGTTTGTCTGTGTAAAGACACACTGGGTTTTGTCATCATTCAATATATACCCAGTTTTACAGTCCAAGCAAGTCACTCTCTCGGGGTCCGAGTACTTTTCACACTCGAAACATACTGATTGCCCACTGTTTGGTTGGTAATAACGTTCACCACATTGATAACATTCGCTTTGGCCTGTTTCATTCTGGTAGGTCCCAGCTTTGCACAATTCACAAACAACAGCGCCGTCTTTTGAATAAGATCCCACCTTACATTTGTCGCATTTACTTTTTCCCATTTCATTTTGATACGTTCCGCGAGTACATTTGTTGCAATGATTTGAACCTTTAACATTTTGATACGTCCCTTTCTCACATGGCACACAACTTGTAGCATTGTCCTCTGAGTACATCCCTTCCCCACATACCATACAAGAAGCTTGACCAGTTTGATTCTGAAAAGTCCCCCCACTGCATGGTTGGCAATACTTAGCTTCTTCAACGGACGCGAATGAACCTACTGGACATTTAGTACATGTCGGATCCCCTCCTTTACTATATGTCCCAAACGTGCATACCAAGCAATCTTGGCTTTGTGCGATGCTATACTTTCCGTCGGGACATGGGAAGCAAAAGGTATATGCTAAGAATTGGTTGAACGTCCCTGGAGGACATGGGATGCATTCTGCTTGCCCAGTGACATTCTGAAAAGTCCCCGGCTGGCATTCTTTACATTCAGTTTGCCCACGTTGCGATTGGGAATAGCCAACTCCACATAATTCACATGACAGAGCCCCAGATAAAGATTGAAAAGTCCCTGGAAGACATTCTTCACAGCGACTTTGCCCAACTCGGTCTTGATATTCACCAGCACTACAACTTAGACAACTTATTTGCCCAGTCATGTTCTGGTAAGACCCAGCAGGGCATTCATAACATTCACTCTGTCCTTCAAGAGATTGATAGAACCCAAGTGGACACATGTCACAATATGATGTCCCTTTCTTGCTTTGATAACTACCAGCTGGGCACTTCTTACATTCAATTTGTCCCGTCTCATCTTGATACTCGCCTGAACCACACTCTTTGCAAAACGTCTGATTTGTACCGTCTTGGTAAAACCCTATTTCACACAGAAGACACACATGTGAACCACTTTGGTCTTGATATTCCCCGACTGGACATACAAGACAGAAAGTAGAGTTTGGATATGGATTATAAGACCCGGAAGGACATGCTACACATGTTGTACTTCTTTCTATGTCACTATAATAACCCTCAGAACAGGGTTTACAGAGTCTTTGACCAACTTCATCTTGAAAAAAGCCTAAAGGGCAATTCACACAGATATTGTCACTTTCATATGTACCCTTCGGACATTTTTCACACAAATTTGTTTCAGTGTCGAGGTACTCCCCTGTTGCACATTTTTGTTGTGATGAAGATGAGGAATTATCTAAAGAGTTTTGAATGGAATCATCACCTAATATGCTGTTATGTATATCTGGTAAAGAAGCTTGACTTAAATCAATCAATATGAAATTAAACAATAAGCTGATCATCGAATAAAGAAGAGAAATCATCAAATATCACTCGTTTAACTATTTAGTTTGTTTTGATTATGTCACGAATATTATAATGAAATTTCTACTTGTAGTGGTCAATAAGAAAAGTTCTTATATGTCGGTAGTTACTATACTTTATAGTTTATTTTATTATTTGTATAACAATTGTTTCAATGAAAATAGTGTATTGAGTTTGTTAATCAAGTATTAAGAACTAAATTAAAATAAACTAATGTTTGTTGAACCTAAAATTATTATAAAAATTATAATTTGTTACGTTAAAAAATTGTTTTAAATAAATTAAATTTCTTTTAGTCACAAAGTTAAAACTCTATTAATCATCAACCATTAATTTTAATGATTGATAACGGACGTTTTATAACGATTTGCTTGCAATGAAATTATATTGTTAAAAATAATTGTAGAATAAGTAATTTTTAATACATTTTAATACTTGTATAAATAAAATAATAAAATTTAAGTTAACAAATATAAATTATTATATTATAATATGAATATTAAAAAAATAATAAATTGATATATTATACTTAAAACTATATAGAAATTAGAACCAAAATTAAAATATAAATAGTAAATATATTATATAATATGGTATAAATATTTTGTTCAGAAACTATTGTTTAGAGCAAAGTACAATTCTCCACTTTCTTTTTCTCCTTACTTTTTCATCATTTTTGCATCCATTTAATTTTTACACCCATCTAGACATAGTCTGGACATCAAAGAACGCCAGAATCTGTATTTCCTTCCCGTATTTGTTTCCGGGTCGAAGGCCAATAATTTATGTAAAATTTTTGCTATTTTTGGCATCAGAACATTTTTTATATTTTGTAGTATTATATAGTTGTTGTATAATATTTAATTTGGATCATTTCCAAATATGAATTGTTTATTTTGTGTACAATTCTATCATAACAATTTAGAAACAAACATTCGTTAGTTTAAATATAATAGATATAGTAAAATATTATAAAATTATTACCACAAAAACGCAACTAAATTGATAATTATTTTTTTTATGAAATAACAACAATAAATGATAATTTATTAGTTTAATTATTATAATAATTATAATAGAATTGTTGAATTCCGACTTAAATGCTATTTCTTATCATTAATTGAATAATTCTATTTTTAGACCACTTATAAAATGTGGAAACTAAAATAAAAAGCCGAAATTGAACTACAAAACCAAACAATGGAAAAGAAAAGCATCAGTGATACATGCGGTGAAATTCATGCAAATCATGAGGGCAACTGTGCTATGAGTGTAACACTTGGCTACTCTCGTGTTACTGGAAAGAATTATGACACTCTTCTTGCTCAATGCAAGGGATATGGTGGAGGACATGCACCAGAAGGGTATTGTGGTGCCTTGTATGCTGCCATGCAAATAGCTGGCCCAGAAAAAGAGGAAGAAGTGAAGAAGAAATTTATGGAAACATCAAAGGGTTGTATTAAGTGTAAAGAGATCAGAGGCGGCAATATCATCCCGTGTAACACTTGTGTAAGAACTGCTGCTGCGGCCATTGAAGATTTATAATTTCAATTATTCTTGTTCTTGTGTTTTGTAACAGTCTTTTTATTGGGAAAACAACACAATAAAAAGGTAGTGTGATTAATCATCTTTCACACGCGCAAATACGTCAGTGTTTTTGTAATAATACCATCCACATCTAGTTATAAGTATATGAGTTATGAATATTACATGGTTGCAACAAATGTGTTGATTTTGTGTTATACAGTGTCACATCTGTATTATAAAGTGTCACAAAAATTCACAAAACAAACACAAAAACACATAAGGCAAGGACGACAAATATGATCAATATCCACCACCAATTGGTTTTAATCCAGACTGTTCTATTGTATTTATCTTCTTTATGTTCTCTTTGAATATAAAATCTGTTAATAGAGAAGGAAGTAGTTGTGAATGGTGGGGTTATTTGAACTTCAGCATACATAGTATCTCCGTTCCATGACTTGGAGTTCTGCAAGAAATCCAGAGGGAGTTCAACCGTAACACTTTCCTCGCCAGTATAATGCTTTGCTCCCAAATGTACTTTAAACGTTTCACTGCGATCTGCTAAGTTATAAAAATTGATCACTGACACTATTAACGTCCGATTAGGATCAGATGAAATTTTGAGCTCATTGTGAATAAATTAATAAATTACTAATGTGACACTTTTGTTATGTTTTCATTCTGATTTTGTATCATCGAGTGTCACAAAATTTGGTAAACAGAAAACAAACCTCTTCAGTACTAATGAACCAACTGTCTGTAGTATTTTGACTGATTTCATTTGTGCACTCAACTTTAAATTTCATTTCTACTGCTTTTTTCCCGTCGAATTGATAAACCCTCAGCGCAGAATCTTTATTGGGATCACCACGGTCCAAAAACTCTTCTTGTCCCTTTCCAAGTGCATTTGATTCGACTTTAGAGATTTCGCAGGTCAAATCTCCTTGTTTTTCGCACCATTGCCCCGTCTTGTCTTCGGGGCATTCACACGTATACACAGTTCGGACAGCTTCACATCGTTTAGAACACTTTTCCACGCCAGAATATGTCAAATTACAATTAAATTCCGTTGGGCAATCAACAACAGTATTATTGTAACAGACGGTATCAGGGTTACACAACACCTAATTGTCACATTGTCTTCAAAAGTGTCACATTACTTGGACATTACGTGTTCTTTCAAATGAAAACGTCTTAACAACAAACAGAGACTGTGTCACACTTCTTGTACTGCTTGAAATCCGTTGTATCATACATGTAATTTGGAATCCGTTTCCCGTCACATACAACCTACTCTGTTACACGTTGCCATCAAGACTGACACAACAAACGTTATTCGTCGAGCAGTCGTATCCAAAGTAATACTCAGTAAACAGCATCGCGTCCCCACATAAGATGTCTATATCAGCATCCGACACAAACCCTTCGCCTTCTATTCGATTGATCACACAACTGCTATACCCAAAATCACTCGTCGCGTATTTACTCCCCTCTATGAACATCTCCTTCACTACATATGCACTCTCACTCCATTGAATTGAACTCACATTCGTCAACGATGCATTATACACTCGTTCGTTCTGATAAAACTCATTGATCCCAATCCGTTTACCACTGGTACACGTGTCTATCAGTTGGTCACGTTTGACCTTCACTCCTCCACCACAGTCTGTCAGTTAGTGAACCTATATATATACTATATTTTTACTATCTGTTTTACTATACAAGAACTCGAAATGGTATAGTACTTTTATTAGAAATTATAGTTATTTTAAATTTAAGTATAAAAACCTTTTTCCACGTTGACAGGTCCTTCTTCGGAATTAACAAGGACTTTTGGGCGCTGTTTGACGTCTTTTTGATTGAGAACGACATCTTTCGGTTTCGGTTTCCAGATCACATTTTCCAGATCTCGTTTGACGTTATTAAGACTCTCCACACCATTTTTCAACTCTTCGATGATTTTCTTACCAATTTCGTCACGTTGCCCCAAAACCAAAACTATTGTGAAGAAGAAAAGAGCAAACTTCATGAAAAGCTAGTTTTGTGAAATTAAAAATAAATTGAAAAATTGAAAAAATGTGTTGAAAACGTCAAAAATATTGAAAATGAAAACTATAATGTATTATAAATAATATTATTAAAATAATTATTGTAATTTTTTATTATAACCATAATTTAGTAATAATATATTGGAATTAAACTAGATATATAACAGTTTCATTTATTAATATATATAATATAAGAAAAGTAACATATATAGTATAAATATAATATAAGTCTTTCAATATCAACAAGAAAAATACATATTTACTCTCCCCATTCGATATAGAAGTCTTTTGGGTGATAGTTTTTCATGACAAGGTTGGTATATTCAGCGTTGAAGTATGCCCTTAGTTTTTTTGAGATTGGGAATACCTGCTCAAGGCTGACCCACTTAACAATAGTGTTGGTAGGCCGGTGCATCAACTTCCCCTGAGCAATTGCCCAAGCCACGTTGCACAACCTCCTCTTCTCGATGTCCTTTCGCACACTTTCATTGATCGATCTGAAAAAACCCTCAAACGCCGGATTTAAGAAATGAAAATGTGATGACGTGTAATAGAGATACGCATTGTACCAATGCTCTGGGGTGTTCAACATCCCGTCGCGATTTTTCGCCACAACAAAGCTCATAATCATCTCCTCGACCTCATGTCCGACACCAAGCCCCGGATGGATTTGACCTGGTAACAATTTGTCTGTCGACGGTGGAAGTCTGTAGTCTTGTAACCGAAGCCACTCAATAATAGTCATATCCAATTCCTCTTTCAAATGTTTTGAAACGAAGGTATACCCATTTTCAAACTCCGAGGTAAAGAACTGCGGGACCACGACTTTCTTCGAGCATAATGGGTTGAAGTGACTGTTGACCCTCAAAAAGAGTTGACCGATCAAGTGGTGTGGGTCTTTGATTTTGTCATACAGCTGGACTTTGTGGACAAAATAATCCGAAAGGTCGAAATCGAAGATCAAATCGTTCAGGTTTTTCCTGATAAACACTTCTTTGATGGTCGACCCGCTGTTTGGTCCGCGCTTAACTACGTAATTGAGAACATGCTCCTCCAACTCCGCTGTATCGTAGTAATTCAAAAACCTGTCACATCCGCGCGGCATCGTGACCAAGTCCAATATATCGCCGTCGTCGAACAGTGCGATAGTCTCTACGGCTTCCGTTTTGAAGAAATGAGACATCAGAAAATCAATGACGTTCTTCATAACAGTCGAGATTATCGCGTTCAGACTTATGAATGAGGTCATATACGCTCCTAGCCAAGAGGACATTTACTTGAAAGAAGTAAAAGTTCTTGAGTTTTCGATGGCTTTTTCTTTGTTTTTTGACGATATAAATGTTGTGACCTTCCGCCCTTTTTGATCCAACAAAATGATATCTTTACTTTCTATGATATTATTTATTATTGAATTACTATACAAAACTATGAATTATATTATTATAACTATTAAATTGTTGAGTTTGTTGTAATTGTTTTTTATTTCTCATATCATATTTTTACTATAATATTTATTATAGTTTAAATAATAAAAAATATTATTTATTGATGGTATAATTAACTATAGTAAATACAATTAAGTTAGAAAAAGCTCAAATTATAATAAAAAAACTATATTTTAGATACATAATGAAGTACAACGAACAAAAAGTTAATTAGTTGTGATTGACAACTTGAAAAAGAAGGTGGAATGAGCGGTACATGGCAAGAGTATGTTGACGTTGAATTGATAGGGAGCGGCTATTGCAAATCAGCAGTGATAATTGGAATGGACGGAAATGAAAATGCTGTTTCGCTTCATTGCCATCTCGAAAAGTCCGAGATTGCGAATCTCATCTCACTTTTTGGTGACGTCAAAAAGAGAAACGTTGGCGGAAAGATCAAACTTAAAGGGGCGGAATGTACACTGCAATTTGCAAACGAGCGGACGCTTCACGCAGTCACTCTTAAAGAAGACGAAGGCTTTGTTGTTGTGAAAACAAAACAAGTTATCATAGTCGCAAGTTATGCCGACTATATGACCCAAGACCAGTGTTCGTTAGTCGTTGAAAAGCTTGCCGACTATTTAATTCTCAAAGGTTTTTAAATAATGTTATATCCACATTTTGTTTTTCAAAATGTTATTCCCACGTTCGAGTCTTTATTGATGAAAAAGTGAAAGAGGAACAAAAACGAGAACTTCCTCGAACTGAAAAATGTGTGACATTTGAAAGGAGATGATTTGGGTTGTTCTTCTTGTAGGGGCCATAGTAGTTTCTCTCACTGTGTGTGCTTGTGTATTGTGGGTTCGACATTATCAAGACACCTACGACAAGAGTCTTTTATCGAACATAATAACTGTAGTGAGCTTTTCATTGGTGACCTCATTGTTAGTGATTATTCCCATTGACATATACTCTGCTGTATCCACGAAGCCCGAGAATCGAGTTGCCGGTGATGCTTCGACTTTGACCACTTCGATCTTTTACTATTGTTTGTTAGTTATATAATTAATATATTTATTATACATGAATAATTATACTTCAAAGTATAATTATGATATAATTATATAATAATACTATAATAATACTATAATAATACTATAATAATACTATAATAATACTATAATAATACTATAATAATACTATATAATACTATATAATACTATATAATACTATATAATACTATATAATACTATAGTATTGACCTGTAGTGTTTGAGTTACTGAGTTTGTTATGTGTGACGTGTGTAGTTCCCTACGCATTCTTTTACGTCGAAGATTATGACGAAGACGAGAAGAAGAAGTCTATATGGCAGCGGATCTTCAAAGTAGTTCGCTTTGCCTTTATTAGTGGCGTGATAATCTTTGGCATCTACATCATTGGGATATTTGTTCCATTCACCACAACGATTCCCCACCTTTCGAGCACAACGTCGGAGGAGTTGACGCCAATTGAGAAATGGGAGAGTGCCATTCTACCGACCAATTGGTTTGAACGGGGGTTTCAGTTTCTTCACGCGTGTATCACTATCTTTGGGTTTCTGTTTCTGTTGACGTACACGGTATATGGTATGGCGGACGCTGGGATCTCATTGTTAAAAGGACAACAAGACGACGCGGAAGCGTCTTCCGCGATCTATGAACGTCTTGAGAAGATTGAGAGAGAAATTGATGAGATAAAACGGCACAGCGATGCTAAGACTGGGAGACCGAAAGATGTGAAGACACGGCGACGGTTAGGACAGCTTCGTGTATATGAGAAGAAGTTACGGCGGGCACAAGAGAAGGTAGAAGGGAGAGATTCATGGATTTCCTTATTAAAAGTGAAGACGCGGGGGTTTGGGATTTTCTTTGGATTAGTTTTTACGTTACTTGGTGCTGTTATAATAGTCTCGCTGTTAATTAGTTTAGTAGTTTCGATAGTCAAGAGCAGTTGTGGAATCACTTGTGGCTTTGTTCTTGATGATCCAAATAGTTTAAATCCAATTGATATGGCGCTGCGGATGTTGGGGATGTTCTTCCCATTAGATTATCTTTTGTATGGTATCTTAATAGGATTTGTTATCTTCTCCACATTGAATGGGATAGTCAAAATCGATGTGCGAATTTTTTGTATTCAACTCTTCGAAGTCAAAGTAAAAGAAACATGGCCACAAGGTTTACTAGCAACAGGGGTCATAGTCACATTCGCTACGTATGCTTTCCTCAACCTTTTATATTATTTCGCTCCTATCTATTCCACCTTTGGCAATCAGAAGTACTCAATTGATCAAGAGACAATCCAATGTAGTCTTCAAGCTCCAGTCGAAATGTGTATGCTAAGTCGAACAGGATACATCGCACTCATTAATCAACTCGGATATAACTTCGTCGCTATATTCAATTACTTCGCTGCTTGGGCGTTTTGTGTCGGGTGGGGAATCTCCATAGCCGTGTCGTTCTTCCTTAAGAAGAAGAAGAGGGACGACCTTGAAATGGATCTATTGAATTGATGTGAAGTTTTTATTAGTAATTTATAATAAAAATGCTATATAATATAACTCTTGTGTCTTTCCTTACTGATTTTTTGAGATAGTTAGTGATTAGTTAATTAGAACTATACGAATGCAATCTTTGAGGGAGGTGTGGAAAGAGAAACTTGATAAAGAGATAAAATGTATGGAGAAGGAAACACACAACTCTTGTCGGACGTTTTCACGTTCATGGCACCGACACGAACAGCTAACTTGACGTCACTACTGTCACTCCAACAGACAACACAACCCCTCGATACAGTGTTACTCCCAAACGCACCTCCACAACAAGCACTCGAGTCGTTCAGTTATTTACAATCACAGAACGCGTTAATAAGTCCGGAGGAAGTTGCCGATTATCAACGACGTGGCGAGTTAATAGGCGAAGGGTCGTTTGGCATTGTGTTTCAGTCGTCTTTACCATCGAAATATAAAAACTCCCGGTTCCAAAGAGTCGCCATTAAAGTATTAAAAAACCAGCAAATGACGCCGAACGAGAACGAACAGTTTATGACCGAAATGTCAGTGTTAAGTTCTTTGTCACACGACAATATCGTCGCGTTCTTTAAAGCGTGCGTGATTGTACCTTTTCGCGCTATTCTAACCGAATACGTCGCAAATGGGACTCTACGGAGTTATTTAGAGGCAAACGACATCACTTTCAAACGTGGACTGGATATCATGAAACAGATCTCAACGGGGATGTTATACCTCCACTCACACAACCCTCCTATATTACACTTGGACTTGAAATCAGAGAATTTGCTTGTCAGCAGTGATGGGACGGTCAAGATAACAGATTTTGGGTTATCCTTTTTTATGAATGAGAATGTCTATCAAAACGCACAGAAAAGAATGATAAGAGGAACCCCCGGCTACTGTTCTCCTGAATCAATTGATGTCGTCTGTTTCCACAAACTCCCATTAGACAAGAAGATGAAGAGTGATATCTACTCATTTGGTATTGTATTCTGGGAAGTCATCTATAAAGTCTATACTAAAAAGTACGCAGCACCGTATAGCGAGTACCCACAACTCCTGCAAAGGCCACTCGCTTTAATGAACCAAGTCAGTTCGGACGCAACTATGCTCAGACCAACTGTACCGCCACAGTGCGACGGTGACGTTTCAATGCTCATTCAGACATGCACTGCGCAACACTACGACAACCGCCCAACGTTCAGAGAAATTCTCGACGTGCTTGACTCGTTCACGCGAATCCTTGAAGTGAAGAACACGCCCCTGATTAAACAGTCGATTGCTTTATTGACTCCACGAGATAAAATTGCGGTGGGCAAAAAACAAGAGCGGACTGACGTGGTAATGTTCCGTCCTATGAGTGAGGAACGTTATGTGCTTCGTGAGTTTCGATGTGGTGTGTTACTTTATAATGGAGAGAACAGTGTAGTTAATAACAAGATTGGGATGGTCAAAATAGTCATTGAGACAAAGTTCAAATTCTCGATACAAATCAAATTCAAAGACAACGAACAAATTGTGCGTGTAGAAATTCCGTGGTTTTGTTTGAAGAGTGTTGGGATGGATTGTGAGAACGGGAGTTGGGTAGGGCTGTTGCAAATGAATGGGAAATGTCTATGGAGTGTTGGAGGAAAGGATATTGGGAAGGGGATACCTTTTGATCAATTTGAGTTGAGTCTTGGGAATGAATTAATGAACTTCATCGAAGCACTTGGGAACATTGCGTCTGTCAAAGACGCGCCAGGGAAACATATTATTAATGTATTGAATACCACAAAGGTTATTTCATTTCAGAAGGTTAAACAGACTGACTGCAAGCGCAGATTATTCCAGAATTAAGTTGTTCATTGTTAGCATTGGTCACATGTTCTTCAAAATGTCTATGAAAGGTAATCAAAGCTATAAAATTATAATTAAGCGAGCCTGAATTTTCCCCCTTCCACTTTATGCCGCATCACAGGAGAACAGCCAGTTTGTTTGGTATACAGAGACTTTCGTTTGTCGTCGTAGACGATCTTTAAATCACCGAAACAGAGCCGTTGTGTGCACTTTTCGATTTTAGGGTTGAGGGGGGAGTAAATTCCGGAGTAATATAACACGTTGTGAACTGCTTGGTCATGGCCCCATTTGTGCCACAAAGCCTTGTCGATGTACTTTTCTTGAGTCTGTAAGTAGGCGATGACCTTTTGAGTTCCGCCGAAAGTCGTCCCCATGTTGATTACGATGGAATTGTTGTTCTTGTATTCATCAGCCGCTTTATAGCCAAAGCTTTGCCCCATGAAGTTGTAATTAGCATCTTGGTCGAACTTCATACATCGTCTGCCCGGTTCCATACACTCTGTTGCAAAGACTAAATCGGACTCATTGAAAGTTGCGAAGCCATCGTTGAAGAAAACAAAGTCACGAAAGTCGGAAATAACGACACGATCATAATCTTGTTTGTGCTCTTCTAAATACTCACGCCAAGCAAATATACGCTGGGATACATGTGACTGACCAACACGCTTAAAGGGACGCTTCAAAACTATGACACCTAAATTCTCAAGCTCATTCACAAACCACCGCGAAGGAGGCTCCGACATTAATATTAAGACACGGTCCGCATTTGGAATAACCGCTTGGGCTAAAGAAAAGGATAACAAGACATCATGTCGATACCGCATCCACGTCCATTGCCACTCAAAACTGTACGTCGTCAACCACAAGTCACGCTTGTTGTTTGGACGATATTTAAAAACTTCGCCACAGGTTCCTTCATAATTGAAAGAAGATAAGTTAAGCTCGGGAGAGACATAGGAAGGATGTGGATATGTATAGGGACCGTCGGGAAGGGTTGAAGGAGGAATGTATTCCTTGAAGTAGATACTCGTCGTGGTATCAACATAATTGCGGTGGTTGAATAAAATAATTAAATTGAAGAAAGCGCCGATCAAAAAAAGAATCAACGACACACACTCGACGTAGTGAAGCACACTCATTCGTGGTGTTCTAATTAGTTTAATAGTTTTAAAATAGTACTTTTTATAACAAATATACTATTCCAATCGTTATGTTTGAGTGGGGTGTTGGTTTGAAAAATGGTTTTGATATACTATAATAAATGATATATATAACGTTTTTATTTATTACAATAAATAATTTACTATTTATTATTTATTATTTATAAATTATAAATTATAAATTATAAGTCGAATTATGGTTCAAAAAAATTATTCGTAAAATTACGAATAATTTTTAATTAATAATTTAATTATAAAAATCAGTTTTTTTAAATTTTAAAAATTAAGAAGTCTGTTTAAAAATGTTGTCCATTCGACAAAAAAATATACATAATCAGTTTAAAAAATAAAAATAATCAGAAAAAAATGTTGAAACTCGGTAAAAATTATGAAACAATGTTTTCGGAGTGTTTATAGTATAATTAATATATTTTATTTTGTATTTTTAATGTAGAAAAAGTTATTAATTAATAATAATTCTAATACTTTAAGAACATTTGAGGTAAAAATATGAAATAGGTTAAAGTAGACAATTAATAACAAAAAGATTTTTTCAAAAAAAATAAAAAAAATAAAAAAATAAATGTCACCAAAACTATAATTAAAGTATGTTTATATTATAAATATAATACTTTTTTGGAATGACAAAGAATTTTAAAAAAATGAAAAATAAGAATTTTCACACAAATTCAAAATATAATAAAACAAAAACAATTCCCAACAAAAGCGGGCATTTGTGGAACTAAATATTAAAAAATTTGAGTTTTTTATTACTTTTTTAATAATATTAGTGGATTTTTTTAACAACAAACCCAAAAATATAAATTCCAAAAATCACAGAGGCTTGACTTTTATTTTTTTGCCTTTTTTTTAATTAATTAATCTCAATTCCCAAATTGTTACTTACAATTACAGTTTTACTATATTAAAATCAAGTATAAACCATTTAAAATTCAATATGGGCACACATTTTGTGTTACAAAACTGTATTCCAAAACAGACAGATCGTTTAATAAAAGAATAATAGTGAAACCATAAATAAACTATACATTTTTTGATTAAAAAACAAAACTAAAAAATAGCGAAAGCACATGCAAGAACAAAACAATGAAATCGATCAAGAAAAAGTGCTTTTAGTCGACTCCGATGACATTCCACGAACTCAAAAATTGCGCAAGAAAAACTGGAAATGTGTCTTTCCCAATTGCAACGAACCCTTAAAAACACGGTTTGTTCATTTCATAAACAAAACTAATTTTAACTACCAAATCAACAACTCGTTAAATACCATTTATTGTGTTAATTTCCCTTGTATTGAACATGGCGTACATAAAAAACAACTCGTTAATTAAATAGGTTCAATTGCTACGCACACGTCTGGGACGCGCATTTGCGAGCGTATTACACACAACAATTTCCCGACTTGTATCCGAAAACTGCGTTTAAGAAGACTGCGAACAAAACGCCGATGAAGAGTGTATGTGAGAAGTACATGTTACAACTAGTTGAGAAGACTCAACCGAAAGAGAAGAACTCGGAGAGTTCTGCGCCACATTTGAATACCGACACGCACGAAGAAAGTTCCTCGAAGAACGTCGAGGAAAACATTTCAGCGCCAAGTTCGCCACAAGACTACCCCTTTGCATTTTTACAGAGTCAACTGCTTGGACAAACGGAGTCGGGGATCACTCATACGGAGTCCCCTAATCCAATTCAAGGCACCACACAGAACTACCAAGCTAATGAAACACAAATTGGACAAACACTTCAATTGAATCAATTGAATCAAATGAATCAATTCAATCCACTCAATCCATTGGGACAAATGACCGAGATGGAGACATTCCAATTACAAAACATCCAAAATCAGACGGGAGAACCCGACTTCATCAAAATCGAACAAATCACAGAACAACTGAGGCGGTTACACGTGTTTGGGGAGATCTTTGCGGAGAACGGGTATTTGGTGCGGTCGGATGCGCGGAGTAAAACGGACATCAAACGGATAGAAGACGCGTTAAAGAGTGTGACTGGACTTGTAGGGCGGAAGTTTGCGTATAAGACTGATGCGACGAAGATGAAGTATGGGTTCATCGCACAAGAAGTTGAGGAAGTGATTCCCGAGATCGTTCAGAAGGATGATGGCGGACAATTGTCTGTTGATTACTTAGGGGTGATCCCCTACATAGTTGAAGCGTTAAAAAGTATTCACGAGAACACAATAAGTCTTGAACAGACGTCGAAAGAGGAATATTTTGAGATGAGTAAAATTGTTGAAGACGCTGTTGGGCAGTTACAAGTCTTAATGCAAGAACATGGGAAGAATATTTTAGTTGAGAAACAGAATGAAGGGAAGATAGTGTCCTTTGAGGTCTTTGGCCCACCTATAGTTGTGTTAATGCTTGCTATAGTGTTTTCGATCTTTTCGATAGTGTTACCATTCTTTGTCCCGTATTTGTTCTTCACGTTGGGAGTGTTAGTGATCTTGACGATAGTGTTGTGGACGGTAGTGATAGCGCAGAGGAAGAAATTGAAGGACTTTTTGATTTTCCGAGTGATGAAAGTGACGTGGAAGAAGTCACAGTTCTTTGTATGGTTTGGGATAGTAGTGTTAATACACATATCGTTTATTATATCGACGGTGTTAGGGTTTGGTGGATTGATATTGACTGCTGCATTTGTCATGTTTTATTCAGGTGTAGGGGTTTGTGTATATGTACTTACGATGTCAAAAGCGTGTAAATGGAGATTTGGATTCACTGTAGTGACATTCTTGATTGCACTTGTTCTTGTTCTCATCACTTCGATTGTTGTTGCTGCGTTTCAACGTTTGTTTTTTGGGAGATAAAGAGAAGGTCGGAAATAACTAATAGCGTTTTGCACATTCAAAATACGAGAGATGGACAAGCCGTACTATGTAAAGATCAACCCGAAAGAACCAATCACCCCAATGGTCTTCTCATCACCCCCTTGGAATTGCTTCTCCCCAAAAGTAAGTACAGACGTCCCATTACCAGGGGATTTGGCTGTTATCATGCCGAGTAGTAATACCCCTAATTCAGTGTCACCGACTATACGGGGGATAGTAAGTACAGACATCTCAACCGTTGTAGTCACCGTCAAGATGACATGCTCCGGGTTCATTCCCGTCACTTATGGGAGTATTACGTTCAAGTCGTGCGAGACTAAGAGCGATCAAAATTCGTGTTTGAGTAATAAATGTGGGTGGTGTGAGACGAATGAAAAGTGTGGGTTTTGTGAGGATGGCGGAGAATTTTGTAATATTGATGGAACAAGTGGGTGTTCCTGAATGGGGAATTTCTTTGTGATGTGTATGATTTTTATTTAATTCAGTCTGTTGTGTGATTTTCAAAGTGGTTTATTTATTTAGTTAATAAAAACTATTTCAAATAGTAAAAACAATTTTATTAATTAATTAATTAATTAATTAATTAATTAATTATATAATTAATAGTTTAATGTATTAAACTTACTCATAGAAAGCGTTTATTATATTCTTTAATTTCTTTGCATCGACTCCATAGAACATTTGAGCTTCTTCATTCGAAATACCATCTCTACAATAATCAAGGTCGATATACCCCGTTTGTAATCCGTACACTAATGGCTCTGGAACTACTTCTTTTTTATTATTACTGAGGCTGACATAGTATATTTTCCGTCCATTTTCTTCTTTGATTGTATATCCCATCGTGTTCTGTATTCTTTTTAAATTTCTTTTTATATATCGTATTTAATAATTAAAATATGGTATATTATTAGTAAAAATAATACAATAAGTCATTAACGAAGCATATAATGACGAATTATAATGAGGTATAATGTATTAGACTAAAACTCTTATTCTTTGTATTATATTTAATAATAATTAAAAGTAACGAAGGATTACTTACTCCAGAGAGTTCAAATCATAGAGAAATGCCGATTCCCCACAATTGATAGTACTGATCTTGTTGTTAAACACGATAGCTTGAATGTCAGGTTTAAAGTTGATTGGAAACCTTCCCAGTAATATTCCATTTTGTGTAAAGAAAATTTCTGATGTATTTATAATCCCACACCCACAGACGTTGGACTTCTTCTCTTCATTTCCAAATGTCCTTTTTTTTTCATTTTCACAAAAGTCGATTTCAACGTCTTCACTATAAAAACTAAAGACTTTGAATGGCAAATTGGATTCACTTTTGTGACTCTTCATGTGCTCATATATATCAGCAACTCCAATAGAAATGAATTGATTGAGTTTCATATCAACTTCAAAGTAGTCGAATGGATTGCTATGCGAAGCACTTGTTTCCAAATTAGTATTAAACGTCCTATACACGGTTTTGTACTCCCATTCACCTCCTTTATCAATATCAACTTCTCCATTCACAAAACTGTGAAGGGACTTTGATACAAAGTGAAGACTTCTATTATTTCTCATTGTATTGAATGTGTCGTAAATTTTCCCATTCATTTGTATGTCGTTTAAATTGACAAAGACAAAATTCCCTTCTTCTATGTCTTCACTTCTTGTTATAGAACTTAACTCAACATTGCCTGAATCTACAATTTGAATCTTTCGAAGTGCCTCGACTTGTCTTTGGTAAATTATCTCTTGTGATATATTAATTCCTATATATTGTAATGGAGTTGTGGTCTTGCCGTAGAACTTCACATCTTCACAAGATTGAATCCATAACACTCGCAATTTTTGAAGGCCACATTGTTCTTTAAATAGAAGTCTTTCACAATTGATAATCGACAAAATTTCAACGTTCAAAAATGAACACTCAAATGTGACTGTATTGATAGTATTTAAAAAGAGTTGCCTCACATTCAAAAAGTCCGTTTTTAATAGAAATGGTTCTTCAAACTGACATCCATTCATATAAAACACTTCGACTGATTGTGGAAGTCCAGTTTGAGTCAGAAATTCTTCATTGTTTTCACATGTTTGCTCTATTGCGTGTGGATATGCCATTTCAAGTCTTTCATCTTCTTGGAGTTCTCCTTTAATGCCCACCTTACCTTCTTCACATAGAAGTGCACTTCTCTTGTGCAAATTGTTCAAATAGTGATAATAAAAGTTTATTTCTTTAAATTGCTCTTCAGCTACTTTCCATTCATCAGTGTTGCTCTCAATCTGACAAACAACTTTTGTTCTATTAAAGTTTGGAATGCACTTCGTTATTGTTGTAAAGCATTCTTTCATACTTGTGTCGTTTTCATTTTCAAAATACAGTGGACAATTTACTACAACCAATTTGGGCATCTTATAATTGAGCTTTTTTCCACCTTCCGTGTAATTCACAAGAAATTCTGTTATACTCGTAATGTCCCCTTCAAGTCTCTCAAGTCGTTGAAACTGTTTTGCCTTTGAAATGATAATTTGTGTGACCTTTTTTAATGTTCCCTCACCATACAAATCAAGTACCCCTGATGTGATTTTTGGTATTAGAAGGTCAAAAGTCTCGATGGTAAGAAGTTCTTTTTTAAATAAAATTTTCAAATTTGGAGATCGAATCAAATCTACTTGTAAAAGATATGGAATCACCTTTTCTGTATAAATAGGAGTGTCATACGTCTCTGGGGAAAAGTGTTTAAAGAACCAAATCACTGATTTCTCGTTCTGTAGTTTCGGGGTGACTCGCATTGTATGGATCATTTGTTCGCATTTGTGGTTGACTCCAAGAAATGTTTGTAAGTCTTCTTTGTATTCAAAGTGTAATACAACACTCAACAAGTAAAAATGATCAAGACAAATACCCATCACCTTTGTTTTTAAAGATAAAACATTTCTATTTTTATATAAATTAATAATAGTATTATTTATTAGTTAATTCTATTTTTACATTTTATAGAATTAAAAATCTATATTTAATTAATATAAATTTGTTTAATATTGAATATACTATTTTATAGTATTAAAAATAATATATTACTATTATAATAAGTTAAAAACTATTAAATAGTAAAAAAACAATGAATGGTTTACTTCTTTTTTATTAGATTATTTATAATAAATAATAGATTACACCAATTGAGACATTTCGTCAATAAACATCTCAACACCAATTCTTTGGGACGGGTCGTTGTTCCATATTTGCTGAATCAAATTGTATACTTCATCACTCATATTTGGTGTTTTTGGACGTCTCCCCCCTTTCGCGATAAAGGTAGCAATATCCCAAGGAAAATGAAATAATTTTTTGGGGTAACAATCGACCCACCCAATAACTTCGTAAGCACTTATTGCCAAAGAAAATACGTCGGCCTTTTCTGTGTATCTCTGACCTTCTAGCACTTCAGGAGCCATATACTTTGGTGTACCAACTCCTTTAGTAAATGTCATGTTGTTCACCAATGAATTGATATTTCTTGATGCCCCAAAGTCAGTCAGTTTAGCATTAGCTTTGACATCGGAGTCGAGTGAAATCACCAAAATGTTATCAGGTTTGATGTCTCTGTGTAATATCCCATTTTGGTGTAAGTACAAAATGCCCCTTGAAGCGTCTAAAACAATTTTTATTCTCAACTCCAAACTAAGTGGGTTATCAGTCCTCTTATTTATGACATCCTGTAAAGACCCATATTGTGCAAATTCAGTGACCATACAGATCTTATTTGGTATAACAACAGCACCATAGAAGTGTACAATATACTCGTTTCGAAACTTGTCTAACATCGACACTTCTTTTATAAACTCTTTCATCATCTTTTCATCGTTGTACGACTGTTTCATCTTCTTAATAGCAACCGATTTTCCTCTAAAAATACCTTTATAAACTATTCCAAAGGATCCTTGTCCTAACTTCTTCCCTTCTGTCAATTCACGATAATCAAGTCGTGTCGTTAATTCAGTCTTGGTTTCTACTCGTAACCTACCAACAATTTCTTGGCTGTTAGATAAATCGATTAACACGACAGCTATTTGATCTTTGATCTCACATGTACAGTAAGGGGTGATGAATACCTCAAACTCACAAGCCTCATCTTTTCGAAGACGTACAGTATTTGGAACAAATCGAAATGAAAATTGGTCGATTTCGGATCGTACTGAAAATTGTATGAGAACACTGTGCTTTGTTTTGTTGCCAATGCAGATGACTTCTCGGGTCTCAGACAACACGGGAATTTCTTCTACATTTTCATCAAATTTGAGACATTCCATGTTCGCAACTATTTTATCACCAAGAAGGAAGGAGAGTGGGGAGTTCGAGTTTTTGATTTTGAATATAGTCAGGTTCAGTTTCGCCTGTTTTGAACGACGTCTGGCTTGTAGGACTTTTTGTATTATAATAAATACAATTATAAGCAATATAATACATATTATAATAACAGCAAGAGGTACACCAATTATAACTCCATAATTCAAACCTAACTCACAACGATCTCCACTGTCATTTGGATGATACCATCCACTGCATTTCACACACATGCTGTTTTCTGATCGTATGCAGAACTCAATTAATGTGTACGGAGTACAAATTCCACTTCTCAAAACATTGTCGTCTTTACAAGAAGTGCAAATGGATAACGAGGAACATGTTGTACAACGCATTTCACATTTGTTACAACGGCTATTATGAAGATAAAACCCCGGTTCACACTGAAGACATCCAGTGTCATCTTTTGAAATGCAATTGGTCAAATTTGAATATGTTTGGCATAAAGGAGATTCAACAGAGATTTTAAAGTAGCCACTACGACACGTTAAACATGTGTCACCTTGGTTACACGTTTCACAAGACGTATCACATGGTAGACATTCTCTTTCAACACGATAATACCCAGTTTTACACAAAGCACATCCATCTCCTTCAATGATAAGTTGTTTACATGTGGTGCTGAGAACATTATTGGATTGACATGTCTTCTTAGAGTCAAGGTAATACCCTCTGGAACACGACAAACAATATGTGCTATTGTAACACTCTAAACAGTTTTCGCTACATTGAAGACATCTCAACGCACCTTCAGAAGAAGACAAATAGTATGTATCAACACAACGCATACACCCAAGTGAACTATTAATAATGCACTTTTCTGTATCATCTAGTTGAGTCTTGGGGTTGTAAAATGGATATTGCATTTCATTTGTATACTCTTGAGTGTCGTTCAATTCGCTTGGAACATCAAGAGGAATGCAAAGTCCATCAGAAAGTAAAGCGTTTATACTACACTTCTTGCACTTCCCAAGCTCAAATTCGATCTCACAATTGTCATCATTTTTCTCACAAAAAGTATATTCAAAATCATCTGTGTTATACTGGTAGAAGTGATATCCAGAAACACACTTTTGACACTTTTCAACCCTTTTTTTCTCACAAAAGAAGTCAATTGTTGACTTGCAATGAGTTGGACTCGACAAAATGTGATTTTCATCACAAGAAAGACAAATCCCTTTTACACTTGCGGAACAATAATCAACAACACTTTTTTCACAAATTCCATTGATGACATTGTAATTTGTGTGAGAACATTTTGCACAAGTACTTGCAGATACTGTTTCACACAACTTGTCATTAGAACATTCATTGGAATTGTAATTTATTGAATTGTTTTTTGCACATGATAACACATATTGTTGTGAATTGTATGAAAAACACTCTTTGTAATTGTTGTCACAAGGAAGACATTCATTTGTGTTACTCAAATATTCTCCACTCCCACATTTGAACATTTTATTGTCTCTGTATGTACGCTTTGTATCGTTAATTAAAGTACAAAGACCATCGGCATTAGTATAATTGTCGTTACACAGAACACAAATTCCAGAATTATTGGTCGACGTGAAATACTTACAGTTCTCAACACTTTCAACACAATTGGAATTAATTGAAATGGTGTTGTTACAGTCACATCCCTTTCGCGTTTTGTTGTTAAAACCATTTGTGTCACATGAGTCCCAAAAGTTGAAACACATATTGTCCAGTAAAAAGCTATCAGTTTGGCATAAGAGGCACGTTGTTGAATTTAGTGGACTGATACACTTATCAAGTGTTTGGCAATTGAGACTTGTTTTGTTATAAAAGTGTTCGCTCCCACAAGAAATACATTTTCCATTTAAAACCACAAAAGGTTCGTAACAAAGTGTACATACCGCAATACCAACATGTGTTGTAGAACACAATTTGCAATTGTCAATTGTTTCAAAACACTTCTGACAGAATGTTTGATTAAATTTGTATTCATTTTGTTGGCACGAAACACAGTACCCATCTTGAAGTATGTATGGATCTATACATTGAGTACATTGTTCGACTGTATTCAAACAAGACTCACAATTTGTGATATTTGAACAGGGGTGGCATTGTTTGTCTTTTGGAAAATAGTTTTCATCACAGACATTACAACTTCTTGAAAAATCCGTTGCACAAATTGTACAGTGCTGGTCATAAGTCTTACACGAATCACAATAAAGTGGGTGTTCGATAGAAAGTACTTTATTTTCTTCACAAGCCTCACAAAACCCATTTTCTGTGTTACATTGATTGTCACAAGTCGAGTCACAATCAACACATTGTTGTTCATTCGTAGTTAAATTAAGTACTGGATATTTACCAGTAAAACATTTCTCACACTTCCTCTCAAATTGCGTGTTACAAGTCATACAATTTGTGTCAAAAGCAGAACAATTTTCACATGTTTTGTTACTCGTTGAAAACACAAAATTTGAAGCACAGGAATTACACTTCCCATTTATTTTGTCACATACAGAGTCAAGACAACTACTATCACATTGAATACATTGCGTTTTATCATCTGATATGTAATACCCATCTTTACAAGTGTCACATTTCCCGACTTCAGAACACAACAAACAATTGGCAACATTCAAGTCACATCTTTTACAGATGTAATTCACAAGAACAAACCCGGCAACACACGTTTTACAACTACTTGTTTTGCAGTCCCCAGCGCAATTCACATCACAACAATAGAATGGATTTTGGTCGGTAGTGGTGTTTGAGTGACAATTCCCACAGTAGTACTTTTTTGAATCATAGCCAGTGTCCACCAACTCATCACATCGTCTGCACTTCAAGACAAATATAAGTGGAATGCCTTCTTTATAAAGTGAATATCCTTCTTGGCATTTGTCACAAGATATATCAGAACCATACTCACATCCTTCTAACTTACTAGACCCTTCTTTGGTTTCACTTTTAGTTGTCAACACTTTCTTCTCAGTGACTGTGAAATCTTTGTCATCGCATATGATAGTAAGTCCACTTTTCGAACGATTCAATACCAATTCATTGTTAGTACTCAAACATACACCACGTGAACATGAAATTCCTTTCTCACAGAATATAACAGTATCTTCATTACACCAAACACCCACTGAAATTGTTGTGAGTATTGTGAGAACAAAAAGAAGAGATGTTTCCATTAGTAGGCAACTTCCTGTCTATACAACTCAGTTAAGTTTCTTACTAAATTTGACGCTTTTAACTCTTCTTATTCCACATCTTTCATCAAACTATAATAATATAGTATTTTAAATTAAATACAATCAAAAACTGTTATAATTGTTGTATATAAATAGTTTATTTTCTTTTTTTATTTGGTTAGTAAGTTATTTTTTCTGTTCATTTACTTTGTTAAATAAATATCTAAACCAAATGATGAAAACATATAGACAAATTTACTTAAATTCCCGTTATTTAGCACTATAATTGTTTATTTTTACCAATCTTTTATGTCGAATGATTTGAAAAAACACTCGAGGCTTTTTTATTTCATTTTTAACTTTTTGAACTATAATTTTAGTTTTTATATAATTAATTTTCTTATATAATTTCCCAAAGATATTCCAATTTTTTGATTGTTTTTTCAACTATAATTGTACTACAAATTACTATATATTATAATAAAAATAATTTCCAAGAAACAGTAAAATGAAAAGTTTTTGTTATTCGACAGTGTCGATTGATTTTATTTTTCGAACGATAATTATTATAATAATTCTAAAAAAAGGTACAAAACATTATAATAACTATTTATTAATAATATAATTAATAAAAATAAAATCAACTTAATTTACTATTACAAAACTATAATATTACCAATTAGAAACTATAACAACACATCCCTATTTTATAGTAAAAATGACCACATGATTCGTACTTGTTGTATACACAATAATACATTCCGTCACATTCACATACACGTATGACACCCTCTGAAACACATATAGTACTCTTTCCAAAGTATTGGTTGCAGTTGTTCGAGTTTATCGATGGGCATCACATTGAACTCCATCTTACAATTTGCGTTGAAGAACTTTTTGTCGAAGAGATCCTTTTTAATGAACTCAAAGACGTTTTTAGTGTTTTTCCCGAACTCCACGAACTCGTCGAAGCAGTTAAATCTGAAGTTGTAGCAATAACACGAGTACACTTGGAACATCAGTTCTTTCAAGAATTCCTCAGAGAATTCGAATTCGTCTGGGTACACCTTCATGACTTGCACCACACAATCAACAAACTGGAGAAAGATAGGAGCGCTCTCTGACACTCCATTTGACCCCAAATTACGCGATCTATCAGAGAATTTATGACCAATAAGACACCACTCCTTCTCAATAAGTATTCCAAACCCATCAAAAGTTCTATAATACGGGTCTACTAATATCATCGACAGACACACCAATTGTGCTGTTCTATCCCATCCATCACTACAATGCACTAAGACACTATTTCCTGAAATAACCTCTTTTGTGATCTGTATAGCACCTTTAAGGATCTTAGTGATGTGCTTCAGCCACCCTTCAACTCCTTCAAAATTGGAGTCTAAGACCCCATATAACAAGTCCTCTGCTTCCCTCATTTTGTGAATGTTGTCGATGTTTAAATACGTCAGTGTGCTATTTGCATAATTCTTAGTGTTTTCACTCCCCATCCCTTTCACTCGATTCACATTGGCATTCAGTTTTGGTCGAGCATCAAAGATCTTTAGGACTTTGTTCTTACTCATGTTGGCATACTCGTCAAGAATTTGCTCATCAAGTGAACTCCGCGAAGCTAACACCCCCGTCCCAGGTTGACTCGACCGACATAAAACAGAAAGACTTGGAATGAGATATGAGATGACAGGGATTCGTCCCTTCGATCGAAACTGCGCCGATTGAATAAGTTGACATTCACTGAACTTAGAAGGGACAGCTACACACGGCGGATATGTCGGACATATTTTCAAGTCACACAGTTGCACGCTTTTCATCTTCAAAACCCCCATTCGAATGAACTCAGCCTTCACTCGAGAGACTTGGTCGACGGACTCATCCACGGCACTCCTCTCCTCTTTTTGTGGCAACGAGAAAATTTCGGACTGCGCCGATTTCTCTTGTGCAGAGAAGGCGTTGAGTAACTTCACTGCGTCTTGTTCGTCTTTAAAATAGCCGATATAGAACTTATAGAAATTCTTTGCTAGAACAAGAAGTGTTGAAAATTTGTTACTCGCAAGTTCAAACGACTTGATTTTGACTTTTTTAATTGAAGTGACGGGAACAAAGAACGTTCCGTTGCAGGTAGGGTTTGGTGTTGAAAAATTGAGGAATGTTGTTTTGTCGAGTTTGTCGTTCTGTTTCAGGAAAATGATTCTTGCGGATGTGAAGAGTAATGTGCCGAAAATAGGTTTGACTGTCGACTTCTCTTTATTAAAGTGGAGGTGGACCATTTCATTGACGACCAATTCCAACTTCTCGCAATGAAAGAGATTATACTCCTCATGTAAATGGATAGGTGCGGAGCATTTTTGAGCCAAGAGATTTAAGACGTGCATTTTCTGTTGCGCGTTGAGGACTTTGGCGTACGCGTGTAAGTCGGGGATTTTTCCGTCTTCGATTAACCCTAAAATGAGTGTGGAGCGCAAATTCGAGATTTCCGTCGACAAGTCGATGACTGCATTTTCCGAATAGAACGAAAGAGGCCCAATCGCCTTTTCTAAAGTGTTTGGTTCGACTCCGAAGAAGGTAGTGATCAACACATGGAACAAGAAAGGTAAAGTGACAGGTAAGTGTCTTTCATTGATCGATTGAATCAATCCCGTCAAGTTCAGTGTCGCTTCCATTCGCAATTGGTCCTTCAAAAATTTTCGTTGGATTGGGTTGATCTCATTGTTGTAAGACGTCAATATCGAGCCCGGACTTAAAACTATCCGTTCAGTCACTTTCTGTTGTCTTGGCGAATTTAAGAGGGAAATGCCTTTGCGTGGGGAGACAATGTTAGTGATGACGTTTTTACTACAAATGATTGAGCGGAGGGTAGTCTTGTTAATCGACGACACCCACTTCACCGCCTCTTCTTGTATTGAAGTATAAAATGTGTAGTTCTGGTCTGTCTGTGATATTGTGAATCCGCTTTGGTCTTGAAGTAATTGTAAAGAGAGTGGTGGTAATTGAATAGCGACAAAAGGGAGACTGAATTGGTTCTCTGTGACATATACATAGAGGTAAGGCATTTGATTTGATACGGTCATTAGTGTTACACTTAAATACTCAGTGTTCGTATCTACTAAGTTCATTGTCGTCGATTGAATGTTTGAGTTTTTCATTAAGACCTTCCCTTTTCTGATATAGTGTGTAGTACTCAGTAAAGGTAAGTAAAAACTCTTTAAAAGTCTTTGTCTCCTTGCATTCTTTTGAAACGTTGTGTTGGTATATAATGACTCCATTAGTGTGTTATACACTATTAAATACTTCTTCGTGTAATTCAAGGGGTCCGCCTGTAATATAAAGTCGACGTCTTTTTTATTTACTTCGCCTTCTATACTGTCGATACTCTATTGATCAGTTTGAACACTTTAAATTGTATCATATGGAGTAACTAACAAACAGATGTTAATATCGACTTGAGTTGATCTGGTGACCTGTATATCGTATATTGCCCACTATTCGTCTCAACTAATACATGAAATATAATGAGGGACCAATGGTCTTCTAAAATGGTTGAAAACTTTATGAGGCGTATCGCAATACCATTCTTCTGCTTTTCGCTCATCAAAACGTTAAGAAAAGGTAGACTTTTTAGTTCTAAAGTTATACAAAATTATCTAAAAGTTTTGAATCAAAAAAGTCGGGTTTTATGTCGAATTTTCTAATACAAAAGACTTGCTTGTTCTTCATCTTTTCAGGATGTTTTTCATATAAAATAGTTTTATTTGTCATTTATTTTTAATTTCGTAATAGTTGTCAATAAACATAATTATGAATATTTTGTTCGTCATAACGAAATAATTTGTCTATTTGTCACTCACAAACATATTTTATTATTTTATTATATTTTTATTAAATTAATATTATTAAATATTAGTGTTAATTTATTATATTTATTTATATTTGTGATGGTTTAAATATAGAATATTTAATAATGATTATTTAATTACTCTGAAATACTATTAATCTGCTTTTGTATTCTGTCTGTTCGTTTGTTAACAATTTCAACAATTTTTTCGTTCTGATTTCCTTCTTCTAAATGATTGTTAACGTCTTCGTCTATTTTCACGATACTGTTACACACTTGATCGAAGGAAGGGCGATCTTTAGGATCAGCTCTCCAGCATTCCATAATCATATTTTTGTATAGAGTCGGGATGTTTTGATCAAAAGAGAGTCTTTTTCCTTCTTCGACGTGTCTTTTGATGTCGAATATCGATTTAAGTTGTGCATATGGTTCGACTTGGTAATAGAGTTCCCATGCTGTGATAGCAAATGAATAGACATCACCAGCAAACGTGTATTCGTCTTTGAAAGTCTCAGGTGCTGCATAGATAGGTGTGCCAAGTCCCTTGTCTTCGCTGTTAGTAATTGATTTCTTTTTGAATCGCGATGTTCCAAAGTCTGTGATTTTGATAGTACATGCGCTGTTACAGTCAAGTGAGTTGACCAACAAATTGTCGGGCTTCAAGTCCAAGTGCATGATTCTGTTCTCATGAAGAAATTGCATTCCACGTGATGTGTCAAACAACATCCGCACTTTCAATTTGTATGGCATCTTGACATAGTCTTCTTTCTCTTGTCGCAAATATTCACCAAGTGAGCCAAGAATGAAGAATTGGATGACCATCGACACTTGTGGGATGTATGTCACTGACCCAATGTAACTCGCTATGAACGGATTCCTCAGCTTTGCCATCATCTCACACTCAGCAACAACATTCTTCTTCAACTCAGCAACTTCGTCTTCATCCAATTTCTCCCATCGAAACTGCTTCACAGCAACTGCAACACTTCGATAACTCCCCATATACACTCGTCCCATCGCTCCTTCTGCTATTGGCTTCTCTGAAATAGAAAGTTCGTCCATATCAATATGTGTCGAACTCGCCGCATCTGTGGCCAAAATTAAGTTGTGGTGGTATTTTTTTAAGACGCTTTTTGAGAGTTTGTCCATATTTCTTTGGTCAGAATTATTCCATGTCTCAAAGTTCTTGTCTTTTAACAACAGAGCTATTTCATTGAGAGTTCCACGACTGTGAGAGAACCAAACGGTGTATGGGATTTTCATTCCTTTCAATTTAGTTGTACAATATAATGTCATATAACATGTGACGTAACCACTTGCTCTTGGTCTCATTATAGCAACTTGTGGATCAAAGTGAAACACATATTTTGGAGTATTTGGTGTGTGAAATATGACCATCATATATTTGTTTCTACTTCTATTTTTAACTTGTATATTCTCGTATCGAGTGTCCATAATAGCAGTCGCACTAGTCGAGTTTCCAAAGTCGAGTTGTTCAGGATCAACTTCAAATTTGGATTCTTTGTTTGGTTCACAATTGACAGAGCCGTTGATATAATAATAGTACGTTGGTTGTTGTTCTCTAAACACTTCAATGTCTATTTGTTTGTAATTAAGAACAAGTAGAATAACTGTTATTATAATAGTTATCAAAATCACAACAAATACAATTCCTCCAATAACAATACCAGCTATTGCTCCTCCACCAATTGATTTGAGTTTACATGATGTTGTTTCTTCGGGGTTGGTGATATATCCTTTTATACACAAACATTGATCATTACAGTTCACACCACCATCACACTACAATTGAGTTTATTGTTGTTAATTTTTAACATTAAAATAATACAAAATAGTTTGTTCATAATTGTTAAATGTAATACAACTTTTATATAACAAAAACAAACTTCTTCATCTTTGAGACTTTTTGTACCCCAATGAACTTGATCAATTTTATTATTCCCACAATTGATGGATTGACACTTAAAACTAGTATTATTAAAGAAAAACCCGTTTGCAGTGTCACAGTAACAGTTTTGAGCACACCCATATTCACTTCGTTTGCACTCTTCAATATCAAGTTTGTTGTCATCATGACAATAATTTGATACACATAAATTGTTTTGAAGAGTATATCCACTCTCACATTTACAATATTGATCACACCCATTTGATCCAAAGTAGCACAAATCGTCGTGATCTTTAACTTGCCAATTGTCATGATAATAACACAACAAATGACAATCATCTCTTAATGTAAGTATTATTATAATACTATACTATACCATAACAATAGATATCATTATTTAACAACAAACCCACCATATCCACTCTTGCAAACACACTTTGCTTCACTTGTTACACACTCTCCTTGTCCATTCTCCGCGTTACAGTGATTTGGGCAAATGACTTGATATGTAAATAAAACATCTGAGTAATAATCCTGTGTAAATAATGAAAATTTTCTTTCATTTTTAGCTCCTTGAATATTTGCTAATATTCCCTCTTGTTCTGATTCAAGCGTCGACACCTTTGAACCACTCCACAGTCTTTCACATAAAGCAATTAAAGAATCATTAGTGAATATAATTTTATTTAAAAGGAAGTAATTCAATTTGTTTGATCTTTTTGTGGAGAGAAGAAGTGAATAATTAGCATCAAAAGTGATGGTAAAAATCACAATCTTTGAAAGAAAAGTTGGCATACAAGTTGGATAGTAATATATTCCAATAGTGTCAAACGAGTATTTCACTTCTCTCACAATCGACAAATTCTTTACCATTTCATCTGTTTCTTTTTGTGAAATTATTGTTGTGTTATCTTTTAATTGAAACACTGAAAATGTCACTGTTAAAGTTGCGTTAATTGTTTTCACTGTGTCTGTTGATATGAAAAATGTGAAAACGATTTCTTGTGTGCCGTTATTGACATAATCAGAATGAAAAAAGTTTCCCTTTATTATAACATTACGTGATGACATTGGTGAAGAAGTATGAGCCATACAATTCCCACTCTTTGCATCTCTTTTGGAGTTAGTGATATCCATTGACATGGAAACATCGTCACGATTTTTATCAACAATAGCGTACATGTAATTGTTTTTGATAGGAGTCATATTAAGCTTGAACCATTTACCAACTCGGTATTTCATTGGATATCGACAAAAACTGTAATCAAGTGGTGTATTTAAGTCTAATAATATGGGAGTGGGAATATTTGGAAAGATTTCTTGGATGTACTGATCATCGGGCATCCACCTGTTTTTACTTAATATTGAATTTGACTTAAGACACTGCCCTTCTGAATTCATGAGATATGCTTCAGGGTTTAATGCACTTGGTGAACTCCATTTACACAAGTTACAAGTGTGGTCGTCATCAAATGTATCTGAACATGTTGTGTTACAAGTGTAGTCTGCCATACATGAAGAACAGCCTTTGGAACACAAAAAACTCGAAGAAAGTGGCACCAAAAGTATAAGGAGAATACAAGTCATTGATTTAATTTTTGACTACATAAATCGGTCAACCTTTATATACAAAAATCACAACAAATTAATGAAATGAAATGATCAAAAAAGACTCAAATCTCACTTGGATTGACCCATTGTTTTGTTTGATGAATATTCAAAACAATATAAACTATCGAAATAATTCTTAATATAGCATTTTTTGAATTCCATTATTCATTTTGTTTAAATGAAATAATCTCCTTTTATTTGTTTTTATTATAGGAGTATTTGAAATTTTGAATTTCATTTCAACAAATTTTTATATCTTTTGATTGAATCTGATGTTCATTTATTTACTGGTTTGTTAATTCATACAGTCAATCAATTAATTATAATTCAATAACACCTATAAATGTAGAATTCAGAGATAGCTTAAAATATTAAACAAATTTTATAAAAAAGACACTTAAATTATTGTTTTAGATTTTTTTTGCTCATAAAATTTGTTTTATTTTAACTAGTGTATTATAATTATGTATTTATTATTTATTACTTTGTTCATTAATTTCGTCTGTTTTGAAGCGGAGATTAATAATTACAAATGTTAATATTCGGACACCTGAAAAATTAACCGGCACAGAAAAAAAGACTGGCAAACTATAATAATGGTTTCTAAAACCTATTTAATGGGTTTTCAATGCAAAATTTGAAAAAACAGGACAAAAAACAAAAAACTATAATATACTATAAATTTATGGTTTGCAGGTCCTTTTTTTTGTGTTGGGTATCTTACTATTTTTTGTTTATTTATGTACAGTAATTATTGTCAAAATAACTGGGAATGGGAAAATGGTTATTCTCAAGAAGACTTTTTGAAAAAAAACTCAAAAACAACCAAAAATAGATTGGCATATTTAAATTAATAAATCACTTTAATATTAAATAATTACTACTAAATAAATATTGTCAAAATATCAGTCAGTGGTTTCCAAAATCACAATCCTAATTACCCACGTCACCATTTAATAACCAAAATGTTCATTTTCTCTTATAAATTCGTACGTTATAATACCACATAATCGGCAATAATTTTTTTGGAAACGCCTGATATCAGTTAAATTTTTTTGCCAATGATAATAATAATAAATATTATACTAGTTTCAAATTATTATATTATTATAATTATATAATAATTATAATATTAATTATAATTTTGTAATTAATCATATTATAAACTAACTATTATTACTATTTAATGATAATATTATTATTGAGAAATAGTTATTAAAACATTAAAAATTATTGAAATAAATTTTATTATCCACTAATTTTATTATATTAAAACGACATAATATAACTATAATTAATATATAGTACATAATTGATACAACATTGAAAAAAGAACTTGCTTAATTTAAATATCGCAGGCGTTGAGTGGGAGTACTTTAGCTTGCAAATGATCGTAGAACGACTTAAACTTGCAAAGTCCGTTTGCATCCTTTTCGCAAAAATTGAGATCCAAATACTTATTATTATACCCAACTCTAATATAATTCTCTCCCTCCTTTTCGTATAATTCGAAAATGATATAAGAAGCATAAGGTGGCCAGCTTGAGTAGTCTCCCTCAAGTAAACTGACCAAAGGATATATAGTAGTGTCATGAGCATGGAAATGAGTATATTTCAAATGATTGACTCCATTAATTCTGTCCATTTGATAGTTTAAAATATCTCTTAATAACCATCCCGAAGCATATCTAGCAGGGAATGGTTCTGTTGTCCCATTATCCCAGAACCTGTATATATTATCATGATAGATATTCGCCACCATAGTGTCAAACTCTTCTTTAGTAATACATTCTTCTGTCACCGACCCATCCTCGTTTGTCATATTTCTACACGGGAACGGTTGATCATTACATTCAAGTTCTTGTAAGATATCGAAGTATGAATCGTACCAATTGTATGTCACTTCCCCAAAGAATCTTGCCATCTTCTCGTAGATTGGTTTCAATATTGCATTATTTCTGTCACTCAATTCGTCGATGAAGTACTTAGAAAACAGATCCTTGTCTAATTGATCAGAATATGGGCATCTCCCCTTCTCGTTTTTCACTGCATATTCAATTTCCGAAGGCAATGTATCGATTTTAATCCGCGCGTCTTTCTTGCGATGGTCGGCGGGATACAAATGTTGTAAAAACGATTCAGCGCTTTGGATGACTCTCCACACTTGTGTTGATCTCACGTAGATGTCCTTAGTATCCAAATCAACAGGAAGGAAGTTATTCTCCCCAACGTATTTACTTCTCACTTGGTCCCCCAAGTAAGCCAATTGGTTCAGCCCCTTTCGTGTTAATTGGCCCAATTGACATGACCCGCTATACATATTATCTTTCGCAAAGACCATCTTCTCTTTATCGATCACGGTTTTAATGTGATGATGTTCAAAAGCCTCAACACCGCTCGACGACAAGAAGCGAAGTTGTTGCGAGACGTCGCAGTCAAAGACACCTTGGTCACCCTTATATGTCAGCCAAGGGGATCGGTCCCCATGGCGGAAGACCATTTGTAAGAGTACTGGGGTATATCCCTCAATCGGTTGTAAAGCTTCAAACTTGGGGACTTCGCAGTACGTCTTGTCCGAAACGACACTCAATACTAACAAACTTAATAGAAGCATAGGCTTCAATTCAATTAATCAGTTTCGTTCTTTTTTCTTCAGTGCCCTTCCAACACTTGGTATAGTTCTTTTTTTAATTGTTCTTACTATAGTGTATAGTTTTCAGGTGTTTGGTCTTTTATTAAGTTTGTATTGTGTTAAGTTTATTCCGAACATCAAATCGGGATTGTTATTTATACAACATGAGAGATCGAAAAGCAAAATATTCAGATCGTGTTTTTATGTATAATAAATTATAGTAAAAATAATTACATTTAAACTATACCAACATTGTATTGAATAGTAGTATCGAAAAACGCCAATAAAACGGGTCATTTTTTCTTTCCCGTTTCATTAGCTTTTTAGATACTAATTTTAAATAATAAAATTCTCGAATGCGAAGCCTAATTGATAGAGAAAAATAGTATAATAAAAGAACTATCAAGTAATAATAAAATATAACACAGATACACAGACAGACAGTCTTTAGAGCTTCGTGGACTTTCGTTCATTAGTTCTTCTTTCCTCCTTATTGAACTCGAAGCTAGAGCAGAGAGACCTAATATTTGACTTAGTGATTGCGTTGAGAGATTTTGAGAATCCGTCGAAGCCGAGTCTGAGTTGTGAGTGGATGTGGTTAGTCAATAACTTGTCGATAGCGAATTGGATTGTTTCATTGACTTTAGGAGTGAACACGATGGTATTTGCTTTAATAGAAACGCAGTCGAAGAGCATTTGAGAGACGGCTAAGTAGATGTCTTGAGTGTATTTTGGGGGAGTTAGACTTAACACGTCGAAGACGAAGTCTGAGGTGAAAGTAAGTTGAATGATATAGGCCAACTCTTCAAAGAGTTCATAGTCTAATAACATCTTAAAAATGTGAGTCAATGATTGTAAGACTACAGTCGATCGTTGAAATCGGGTGTCAGTTAATAAAGAGAACGCCGTTGCGAGTGAATCGAAGGATAAGACAGTCATTATAGTCTTCAAGTTTTTCGAGGAGATCAGGCGCTCGAAGAATTGGATGAGTAAAGTGTATATTAACACGTCTTTAATATTTTGCGGCTTCTTCGATAAAATTAAACAAAAGCGTTCAATGGAGTCGTCAATAGAAGAGAAAAATTGATAGAACTTTGGAGTCTCAAATTTCTTTGTAGTTTGAGGAATGTGACTGTCACAGATCTTGATTAAGACACGTAAAGTCTTCTCTTGGATAATATAATCACTGCTATGAAGTGCAAAGAAGTCGTGGAGTAAAGAGTCTGCAATTTGCTTTGGAGTCTTTGTGATGTAATCGATGTCCGTATCAAAGTCAAAATAGTCCAATGTCGTCTTAAGACGAGTTGCAGCTACAAGTGACTCAATGTCTTCCATATCGTTTAAACTATTCAGTTAAAAACGCTACACTAAAAGTTCAGCAAAATGACTTCTTTTGTTTTCTTCTGATCTATTTGAGGATACTCTATATATACATCACTTTGGTCGGCACTTCAATCACTATGGTTCGACACAATTGAGATACATCATCGATAACTAGTATATATGGTTTTGTATACTATATAATTTAATTTAATTATAATGTTCGTTCTGTAAGTTAATGAACGACATTTGTGCGTTGTATTTATAGAACAAAATTTCTATGATCTATTTATAGGAAAGTACTACGAATTTGTTTAACCATTTTATTTGAGGAGTTAATTTGATTTTTTATAAGAAAATAAATGGGATAATCGGTTTAAACATCTGTATAATTAGAACTATTAACTTGGGGTATTTTGGATGTATTCCCGTTTATTTGCTTGTTATGAGATATATATCCTTGAGTTTCCGCTGAATTGCTATTCCGGAAAACCTACCCTTTAACCTAAAACGATTTTTTGATGCAAGAAGTGATCCTTCTTTTTGTTTTTTATGTTATAATTATATTAATAATTATATTAATATTTTTTCTTGTTATTATTTATAAAATAATAATTATAATAATCAATTTTGTATAAAAAGATAAAACTTTTACTTACATAATCTTTACTTTACATTATTAAAAACAATAATGGTAACAAAAAGATAATTATGCTGATAGTAAGTTTATTCTTTTCTTCAAAAGAAAATAATTTTAGTTTTTTGGTTTTAAAATGGAGATGTTGAGTGTTTTTTTTTGTTTTCGATGAATAGTATTTTTTATTATAATTGTTTTATTTTATTTAATTAAAAAGAACTATAAATACCAAATAAGAGAATAATAAATATAGTAACTAATTCAATTTAAAAAAATCTCAGATAACTCATTATTTATTTAAAAATACTTCCAAAATGAATTTCATGAGTTCTGTAGTAAAATATCTTGCGTTTATAAATGAAATTCTATTAATAGATACTAATCACGTCATGACGTGACGGGAGTGATATACAAAAAAATAAATGAATAAATGTATTATATTGAATAGTACAATAAATATCAATGAGATAAATTTATAAAAAAGACTTGGCGATGAGTTGAAGTACTTTGGTACTCTCTGTGATTTTAATGTTGTTTGGGAAGTTGTTTGTAGCCTCTGAAACGGCGCTGATCCACTGTTCTAAAGTTTCTTTGTCGGTACATTCCTGACTTGCAAACCCCAATATGAAACAACAGTTTTCTACAAATTGATTGAACCCATGAACACTTTTCATTTGCTCGTAATTGTCGAGTGACATTTTTAAACAGATTGAAATGTCCTCCGGAGTCCCCTCCGATTTCATATAGTCACACATGACATTTTTACAATAGAGGTTGGACACTATGTCTATTGCTATAAATAGCACGGATGGTGTGGTTGTGTATGTCTTAACAATGGTCGAGAGCATCTGCACAAATCCATATGTCGCTAAAAATTGGATGTTTAATGTACCGATGTACTTCATAATGCGTACAATACCCCTCACGATATCAGGAGAACGCTCTAACATGAAAGTAGTTATACCCTTGATCTCGGAGATCATCTTCTCGCTCAACACAAATTTGGTTCTAAAAAGTATGTCTGCAAACAAATTCAACCCTCTTGAAACAATGGCTTCGTCATGTGCGTATTTCTTAGTAATTTCGAGTAATATTGGTAACATGAAACTTGGAAGAGTCGAGTCTAAAACATCGTGTTGGAGGGTACTTGTCAACAAGTCGAATATTTGAAGGATCTCAGAAGGGTCTTGTGCGCTGCTAAGAAATGATATCAGCATTTCCACAATACACGTCCCTTTCAAATAACACTTTCCAGTAAGTTCACAGAATGTTGTGCGTTTACCGGACGCTGTCACGACTTGTTGTTTACAGCATGGAATAGTTGATAACAGATTCACGAGTATTGGGAGGGAAAGGGATAAGAATTCAAATTTGCCGGTGATCCTCTTAAAGACGAGAGAGTGCCAGTAATTTGAGAATATAATCTTATTTGAGTGCTCGGTACCAGTGAACATCCCAATAATTTTTAAGCAATGTGGGAGGAGGATATTAGTACATCTCGTATCCAAGATGTGGATGATGTGTGCGATGATCATTTGAAGGTAAGGCAAATAGTCTTCATGTTGAAGGATCTCTTCCACAGTGATCATGAAGTACAAGTCGGTGTCTTCATTCTTCAAGTTCTGAACAGCAAGTATGAATAAGTCGAGTATACCTTCTTCGACTGCTTTGTCATAGACACTCCAGAACTTCCATAAAAAGATGCCGATGCTAGTGATTTGTCGATCGATCGCTTCCTTTGCAAATTCTCTGAATAATTTGAAGTCCAAGTTATCGATAGCGATTTTACCGAAGTATAACACGTTGTTGGTATCCAATTTCTTCACGTCAACTTTGCCGAATTGTAATAAGAATTTCAAAATAGTCTCCACTACAGAAGACTGAAAAATTAATGAAAGCGATTGTAACGCCTCGACGTCGTTCATTCTAATTAAGACACACACTAAGTCCTCTTCGACCTTCTCGTCGAAAATCAGAGCATGACTAATAACTACGGCTACAATCGAAGAGACGATGTTCTTCTGGAGGTTCACAAAGTAAGTGATCGTTCCAATAGCTTCTGCCAACTGGAGTGATGTGTACTGCGAGAAGTCGGGAAATCTGTTGAATACAAAAGACGAGAAAATGTCAGATACAATCTGTTTGGAATACCTCGCGAAGCACGGCACAGTCTTCTCGCGAACAAATTCCGACTTGATGAGTTCTTGTATGATATGAGAAGGGTAATAAAGCTCACCATCCAAACAAATGACTTGAACTAAAGCAGGTGTTGAGAGCTCCTCTTCAGTCATATAGGGTTTCTCTTGTTCAAAGTAGGACTGAATGGTCTTCTCAATAGGAGGCAATTTTGTTATGTCATTGTACGTCTCCATGAGCAATTTCTCGTGGGAAAGTGACCCTTGAACACGCACGTTCCGCGTTTGAAATCTGGTTTTTCGGTTCATCGTTTTGCTTTCTAGTTGAACTTGATATTAGATTGAAATGTTATTTTAATCGATGGGAATGTCAAATACTATATTTGTAATTTTATTACTAGAATTAAAGTATTGTATCGGTATAATTGTATATTAACTTTTTTGTATAATAAAATAATATTTTAATAAGTATTTTTGTTTATTATAAAAAAACTATTCATATTTTTATTAATCATATCAAACAAATATAGTTTAAATATATTAAATAATAGTAAAAAGAGAGAAAGAAAGTATAACTAAAATTATGATAAAATAATAATAGGGACATAGCAAAAAAAGTAAGATAATAAGATTGAGGTTACCAAAACGGAGGAATTAAAAAAGAGAAAACTTTAAAATCAGAATGGCATACAGCTCAACTGAAGGTGGTTTTATCCCATCATCACCCGCTAAAAAGCAGCCCGCGAAAAACGTTGTTTTTCCGTTGACATGCCTTGAGTTTTTAAATACAACCACAAACAATAAAAAAGAGTTTTTATATGAAAATAACATCCTCACCAACGTTGTTGTCTGTGGCGAGGTCGTCGAAGCCAAAACTGAAAACGAAATCGCGAAGTATCTAATCGACGATTCTACTGGAAGGATAGAGGTCGGTATTTATGGCGAAGACGAACCAACATTCTCGTTTGTTTCATTCTCGTTCCACCAAAAATGTTATATATAACATTTTGATTGTATTGATCAAATTTATAATTTAATTAATAATTAAATTATAAATTTATAGAGCGAAACCACTGATCAACAGAGTCGGAGATTACATCATCACTTCGGGAAAGATTAAAAAGTTCTCATCGTCTAACTACGTACACTCACAGAGAACCATTAAGTCGGATTTGGATCATATGATGCTCCATCTCATCGAGTGCGCTTATGCTTTATGCTAAAGAATTTAATTAAAATTACTATTGTTATTAGTTTAATGAAATATACTCATTATATTGTTTTATTAATTATAATTAAATATCATTTTAAATGAATGTTTTTATAAAAAAGTGACATAAATGGCAGAAAGAGCAAAGAGAGACTGTGAATAAACAAGTCTGATATTTTTCAAAATAACTTATTTACTATTAATATAATTATTATTAACAATATCAATTAATGATTCAGAAAAAAAAAATTTTACAATGATATTAGACTAATTATTGATGATTTAGTATAATTATAGCTTTTAAATCTTTGAATGGTAATAAAAAGATAAATATGCTCTTTTCAATGGTGACGTATAATAAATGAAATGTATAATACAATATAGTAAATAAATGGTTAATTTTATTATAAAGAGATGAAAACAAATTAAAAATTAACAATCTTTTTAATAAAATAAAAAAAATGATTATTTTTGCATACAATTGACTTGGTTTTTTTAAAGTAATTAAATACATTAAAAAACGGGAATTTTGAGTAAATAAAACCGAATAAAAAAATACAAAAAAGAGTTAGTTTTTTTAACAACAAAGAAACCATATTCAAATTATAAAAAACTATATTTGAAATGCCTCTAGAAAACTGCTCTAAGAACACAAAAACAGAGACCTATGTTTGCACTGACAGTAGGTGTTGTCATTCTTGTCACTCTTGTGATCTTGTACTACCTTCGCCCATCGACATATCCGAAGAAGTTAAATGGCCAATGGGTAGGTGAAGCGAAGCCAGGAGAGACTCGGATACTACGTGGGTATACAGCGGAGAAAGAATTAGTGACGGAGAACCTCTCGCACTTCCGGACGATCAACGACGTAGTCAACGGGTTCACGCGGGAAGACAAAAAAGAGTTTGTTGGGTATCGGAGATGTGAAAGTACTGTTGCGTTCAAGACGATGACAGTGATGGTCAATGGGAAGGAAGAGCAGAAGAAGTTGTATAAGTACAAGATGTCGCCATACATCTGGATCTCCTCAGTGGAGTATCATCACATGATTAATCGCCTTTCGACTGGTCTTTTAAGTATTGGATTGATGAAAGGAGACAAACTTGGGATCTTCTGTGAGACTCGGTATGAGTGGATGGCTTTGTTATTAGCTGCTTGTAGACAAGGGATTATAGCGGTCACTGTTTATGCCACTTTATCGGATGATGCCGTTAAAATTGCATTAGAAGAGACGGACATTAAAGGACTTGTAGTTTCTGAAGATACCGCTAAAAGACTTCCGAAGATTGGGATCAAACAACACGTCATTGTGATCAACGTCGATGAGAACAAAGAGAATAAAACATCGTTTGAAGCTCTCAATTTGTCGGAAGAGAAGACGGAGTTTGCGGAAGTCCATGAGAACGACTTGGCGATGATCATGTACACGTCAGGGACATCAAATAGTCCGAAAGGAGTGACTGTGAACCAAAATCAAATTCTGATGTTGTCGTACGCATATACACATGTCTTGGAGTTCTCGCGAGAACGGTTCATCGCTTACTTGCCGTTAGCCCACATCTTTGAAATTGGCATTGAGTTTGCCTTGTTAATGGATTTTGCGACGATTGGATATGCGGGGACACGTACGTTGACTGCTGGGGGGTGTCACGAGTGTAATTCGGACTTAATTGAGTTGAACCCGACTGCGATGATTGGTGTACCGACGGTCTTCAATCGAGTCAAGAAGGGGATTTTAGAGACGGTAGGCAAATCCAATTGGTTTAAGAGATTCATGTTCTCCACAGGGTTTTATATCAAGAAGGCCTTGTATGTCGACTACAATTTGTGTCCGCCGTATTTGTTTACTCCACTATTAAAAGTAGTTGATGGCATCATTTTTAAGCCACTGAGCAAATCTTTATTGGGGAAGAACATTAAGTCGGTGATAGTCGGTGGCTCTGCGTTACATCAAGAATTGCAACACTTTTTAACAGTCATCTTACCGAATGTGGCTATCATGCAAGGATTTGGAATGACTGAATTGTGCGGCGCAGCACTTGCTATGCCACACAATGACCCCGAGACATCTACTATAGGGGTCATCTTCCCAACATATGAAGCTAAATTAAGAGACGTCGCTGAATTGGGCTATTTGACAAGCGACAACCCACCAAGAGGAGAATTAATGTTTAAAGGCCTTCCTGTCACGAAAGGATATTTCAAGAGAGATGAGGAGAATAAGGAAAGCTTCACAGAAGATGGATGGTTTTGCACTGGAGACATCGCAACTATTAAAGATGACTTGCACGTGTGTATCATCGATAGAAAGAAGAACATAGTGAAACAACCATGTGGAGAATATATTAGTCTGGAACCTATCGAATCAAAGTACTCCTCTTCAAAGGTCATCGACAACATTTGCGTCTTCGCAGACCCTTTCCATGACTTCATCGTCGCTTTAATCTCTCCTTCACACAACGTCATCAAAGAAATTAATCCAACTCTCGCATTCAACGACGCTATCAAAAACAAAGACGTCATCGAAAGCGTCAAAAAGATGTTGGCTGAAGTCGAAGTTGGCTTGTCCGCTAAACAGAAGATTAAATACTTCACTTTGGTCCCAGAAGAATGGACACCAGAAAACGGACTTTTAACTGCTGCTCTCAAACTCAAACGTCCAGCTATCAACTTGAAGTACCTCCCACAAATTCAGCAAATGTTCTCTTTGAATTAATCAATTCACCAAGTTGATCGGGTAGTTGTTTTATACTATTTCTATAACTTTATTGAATGAATAGAATAATAATAGTATTATTATTACTAAAATAAACTAGATAATAGTAAATGCTATATAAGCTATTTATATAGTTAAATAAATAGAACAAAATGTATTGAAAAATAAACATTACACAACAGGGAGATATTTCACATATCGGAGTACAGTCACTCGATTGCTTATAAACCCACCATTGTATTTTTTGAGCATAGGAACAACTTTAATTCGTCGTGGACTGACTTCCGCTCGATGGAATATTCTGAATTTGGTTGACTTAATCATTGGGTCAAATAACCTATTGTCACTCCACGGAGTCTCACAAAAGTCTCTAAACGAGACGTTGAAAGCGTTGTCGACACAACTACACTCTTCATATATCAAATCACTCCATTTCAAACGATTTCTTCGTGTCTCTTCAGTTGCTTTTCCAATGTTCATATAAAGAAGTCCGACATCTTGAATATCCGCACTCAACACCTTTTCAAATATATTTTGAAAGCTTCCAAAGTATGGGATACATGGATTGCCCAACTCTCGCATTGCTCGAATCAGACCCGGATAACTCCCATCCTTGGGGTTGGTCAATTCAAACACCCACTTTCTCCGTCCTTCCAAGTCGATTCGAATTGCCACCTTCTCTTGTTTGTTCAGTCGAAAAGAAGAAAACCCAATTGCCAAGCCAAGTGTTGCAAGTAAGTTATGACGGAGGTGATACACAAAGAGAATAATTGTAATAAAATACTCTTGGAACGTCGCGTTGAGACTAATGTTGTTGATTGTTTCATATAACGACTGTGCTACCCAATACGCTAATATATCAACTTTCTTCTTTAAATCAGACGCACCAACTCCCGCACGGCGCATCTGTTTGGAATAAAAAATTGCTCTTGTCTGGCATTGTGTGAAGATATCGACATGTGCCTCAGTGATCTTTTCAGCCACAAACCGCGGGTTCAGCATCAAGTAAAAGTAACGCGGGGGAATACGATAAACAGACCGTTGAAACACAATTGCTGGGTATTCGGCTAACACGTGGGGTTGTTGTGGGGACATGCTCGTTGTGAGTATCAGTGCATTGATTTCCAAATAAATGTTGTACACTCCACTCATGAAAACAGTATCGAACGCGTGTGGGACACGCCTCCAATTCTTTAATAAGAAACCGACACAGCTCGCTCTTTTTTCATCTTCTCCAATACTGCAAAGTGAATAATAATTAATATATAGTAAGTATAGAATACTATTAAAATAGTAATTCATTATTAATAGATATAGTATATTGTATTCAATGAATGAAACAACAAACTCGTGAACAATAGCACAGAGGAAGTCTTGCGACGTTAATCCGTAGATCAATGGTAACCATTTATAAGCTCTGGAATATGACTCTGGTGCTGAGCAAAATCCACAAAAAAGGACAGCAGGTATTTTGAACATACTTTCGAAATATTTGTTCAGTGTGACTTGGTCTGTAGACGACGACTCGATTAATACTTTTCTAACATGGGTGCACTTTTTAGCATTAGTGATATGGGTTTTCGTTGCTATTGGCAACTCCGTTAAGACGCTTGTGAGGTCTTTAAACATTTCGAGCAGTGACGCCAAATTTGGGATAGCAAGGGTTCGTGGACTTTTGACGGGGACGAACTCCGACTCTGCCTTAACGAACTTCTGTTGGAAAGGTTCAGTTGATTGACTTGACATTGATTGGTCTTGGATCGACGTCGATGATGTTGAAGAGTTGAGTGAGTCCTTTGAAGAGTGTTGTTTGTTAGTTTTGACCAACAAATGGTTGATGTTGTCGATGACGTTCTCAAGATGGATCAACACAAAGACAACGAGTTTGAGGATTAACACCGACCGCATGACTTCATAGGAAGAGATCGTCTTCTGTTTAATGAACAGAAACATTTTGTTCACAAATTCAGTGAAGTCCTCAAACAAGACAAAGAGGAGAAAATGCATGCGAACGACTATTTGGAAATAGCTGACGGGTTCTTCATCGACAAAGTACTTGAAATATTTATTCAATTGGTCGCCAAGGAGTTTATTCAGTCGTTTGAGTTGAATGATAGTCCCACTCTCTTCATTGGGAATGGCATTTTTAAGTGAAGAAAGAATGTCTTCGATTTTTTTCAGTGTTTCTAAGGAGTCTGAGCCTCGCGTCTCTTCTATTTTCATTGGAGGAAACATCAGATCTCGAAATTTGCGATTCAATATGGATGTCCCTCTTCGAATGGTACGAACAGTGCTTGCTCTCCCGGGAATAACATTTTGCAATAACACTGTAGGCGTGTAGCAATAGGTCATATCAAAATTTCTCAGTTCTTTTTCATGTTGTCATTTTTCGCGATCGAAAAATCTACAAACTTGAGATTCTGAAATTGACAATCTATACTTCTTTGAACTTTTTATTAGCTCTTTGGATTTCTTTTTGTATCTATTTTTGAATGACTGAATCTTATTAGTCAATAGTAAAGACACTTGTTTTTATCGGAATCTAGATGCTTGTTTTATTTTAATCAGATCGAAATTTAATCTTCTGATTAATTATTGTATTCCGATATATTCTTACCAACAAACTATAATATTGTTTATGGTTTGTTTTTACTATAAAATATGATACAGGAAGAATAAACCAATTAAATTAAAAATAATATATTTTATTATAATGTTTTAATGAATAAAATAATTCACAATTTACTCAAGATTCAAAAAGAAGAAACAACTTTTAATCACCAAAAAAAATGAAACAAGTACCATTAATGAATAACATTTAAACCATTACTTACTAATAAAAACAATGAGACTGAGATTGAATAAAGTCAAGAAGAAAGTGAGATCAGATCGTGTGAGTGGTATAAAATGAACTGAGCAACAAATCACAGAAAGAGAAAGGAGATTGAGAGGTGCGAGAATTTGGGAGAAGATAAGGGAAGTAATGAAACAGTCAAATTAATCAGAGTGGTTCCTTCTTAATATAGTTCAGGCTGCAAGGTATGCAATAAAACTCCTCCATCCCGACACCTTTCTTCCACTCCGTTGTTTTCTTTCCGCAAGCCGTGCAAGTCTTTTCTTGGTTCGCCAACCGCGCGCGGCGTTCTTTTTCAAGGGCTTCCAATTGTTGTTGCTGTTGTTGTTTGAGTCTGTTTTCTAGTTGGAGGAAATGTTCCGGCGTTGAGTTTGGGAAGTTTTGTTTCTGAAATTCAGTGAACGTCTCGAGGAATCTTCTCCGGAAAGAGACGAGTTCGTCATGTGTTAAATCTCTTGAGTACAAGATTGACAAAATCTCCATTGACAAGTTTCTCATCTTCGTCGAAAAGGAGGGTGACTCTTCCTTCTAGTTATTTGTTTGTTCGAGTTTTGAATCTTTTATAGTGTGATTATTGTTCAACAAACCATCTCGCAATATTTTTGAGATGATTCTTTTTCCAGTGCTTATATAGTCCCCGTTTTGACTTTTTATAACTTATTATTTATTTACTAGTTTGCATTGTTTTCCCATTTCTAAAAAGAGAAAAATTAAGGTTTTAACTATTTGTTTGATTTCCCATCATTTTATAAGTTTTGAGACTAATTATTGATAATAATTTTTCTATATGTTAGTGGTTTTTTGTGAAAATCTAATGAAAAATATTTTTTTTTAATATCAAGTGTTGTTTTTATTAATAAAAATTTAATTAAATTGTTATATTATATAATATACCATTAATTTTGATTTTAACAAGATTAACAAGTTTGTCTTTTAAATCTTTTAAAATAATATCTAAATTATTTTTTTAATATATTAATAAATAAATTCAATTACAAATAGAATTAATTCAACAAAATTAAAAACAAAACGATAGCAACAGCTCTGAAATTATAGAAAAAAAAACTATAAGATTCATACTAGTCAATCATTGCATTTTGTAATTATTTTGTCCCTGAGCGGTGTGGAACACTCCTTTAAACTTGAATGAGATAGAGACGTCCAAAAATCTTGGGTTGACCTCATTGAATTTGAGTGTATACACTCCCTCTATGATTTCTCCAGGTGAGACGGTGATTGGTTCGTCCAAGTAAAACATTGATTGGTGCCAATGTGTTTCCGTTTGGTATGGCGATGTTGTTAAAACCTCTCCCGACTGTGGGAATGCGACGTCGAAATAAGTAGCGAACGCGTAGATGAAGTCTTCTCTGAAAGCCTTTAATTTGAATGGTGTAGTGAAACATTGATCTTCATATTTCATTGTATTGATATCGATATTCTAATAGTTAATTAACTAATAATATTGATTTTAATTACTATTAATATTATTAAGAAATTAAAAACAAACCATTAAGACGTCATCGGACGTCACAATAGAAGAGGAATTTAAAGTTTCGACTAATGGCTCATTTAAGACTTGAGCTCTCATCGGTGTCATATTAAACCCATACACATTCCTCCAGAAATTCACTTTATTATCATAGAACCATTGATCTTCTATGGCATTAATATACATCGTGCACTTCTCTGGTAAAATCAATCCACCTTTGACAAGCCATTTATCTCGCGCATATAAGACACTTCCAAGCATCGATTCATATAACAAATTGTACCCCATCCATTCACTCACAATGACATCGACGTGGTCGACAGGAAGTGTTATGTCTTCGACTCTTCCTTTTATCACTGTAATGACATCTTCATATCCATTATCCTTCACGACTTGTTTCGCTTTTTCTGATACACCAGCACGCTCGATGGCATAGACGTGTTTGGCTCCAGCACGTGCGGCAAAGAGGGATAAGATCCCAAGCCCACATCCAACGTCCATCACTATTTTCCCTTTAATGTCACACGCGTTGATCGCCTTTTCGTAGGTATGTGTTCGTGTATAATCCTTGATCATCTGCTCGTGTATATTGATCGAACTGTATGAGTCCCAGTAATACTCCAAGTCCGCCTTCTTCTGGTCGTGTTCAAATTGCTTGGAGTCCATCTATTCTTTGGGTTTCGAGTTAAACTAAAAGGGTTTTCATTTGTAAAGGTCGGGGTTTCATGTTTGTAATGGTTGCTTAGAGTCTTTTCAAAGTAAATAACTGTACCATTATTGATGATTATATTTGTTATATTATATAATTTTAAGTACAGAAATGGATCTTCATGGTAGAAACATGATTAATTGTATTATAATTAATAATTTTGGTTGCGTTTAATATAGAATTTGTTTTTCGCAAAATTATACAACGTTTGTGGTCTTGCACATTGGAGTATTGAATTAATGAGACTTAAAATATCCATTAAAAACACTTAGAAATCGAGTGAGTAGTCTTTTTGTCTGATTATGTTGTCGCCAAAGATGTCATAGACAGCCTGCACCATCATCGCCCCTCTCAATATGTTTTGTTCTCGAATCTTTTTCAACATCTTCTCTGTGTGTGGGAAGTACGCATCAATGGAGTGGGCCCAGATCTGGTCAAAATAATTCCAAGACTCCGTTATTTCCCTTCGATAACTCTGATACGCAAATTTGACATGAGCTATTCCACAAACAGTTTCATTCCCATCCGGTGATCCTCGTAGTGGCATCCAAGTTTCAAAATTGGTGTTAAATTTTATTTTGGTCAAATCAAACTCGATGTGGCCCAACACGTGGTCTTTCTTCAGGGATTTCTTTTCAAAGAAATACACATTGACGTTCCTTCTAAACACCCCGGCATTAAACACGAAACACGCTTTTGTATACATCTGATCGATTTCTTTGCACTCTTTTGACTTCATTAATTGAAATTTGTCATCACAGACCCCACAATAAATCGTGTTTAAGCTCTTCTGGTCTTTCACTTTGAGTCCAAACGATTCCAATACATAGATCGACACGACAGGATCAGTAAAGTCGTTTATTTGTGCCTGTGACTCTACAGGCAATGGAAATTGATGTTCATAAAACACCAACCCTTTAGTGTGATCAACAATGACTCTTTTGTTCTTTTCCAGTCCATAGCTCAGCCCCTCAGGTAGAGTCTCGGAGTCCACAAATGGGTATATCATAGACGACTTAGTGAATGCTTTGTCTGCGTAAACGACCCTTTTGAGATGATCCAAATATATAACATCGCCTGTCGATGTTTTAACAGTCTCAATACAATTCTCGCTCTTAATATTGAGTTGTGGTGTTTTAGAGAACGTGACCTCCTCGTTTTTGTATCTGTTTACGAGGTTCTGGCAATCGGACAAATTTGCCGGTTTTTTGCCGTAGATAGTTATTGGGAAGAACGCGGCTTCTTTCTTCTTAGATTTTGATACCATCATAATACAAATAAAGTGTTTGTACATGAAGTTCTGAGTGATTAGAGTGGGTGCGGCTGTTTTAGGGATGTCAAGGGTCAACTCCAACTCATCGTCCAGTTGCGATGGTTCAAGACTCAATGTTGCGACGTCGACGTGTTGTGTTTGGTAATAAATTGAGTGCACTCCAATAATACTTGCGGACATCTCAGGTATTCCCTCGAGTCTTAAGCTCTTAAAACTGACATGAAAGTGGACTGTTTCTCCAACTTGGAAGTTTTGTTTGTCGAGGGACAGCGTGACTTTAGTCATCCCCACTATCCTTGAACTTGAAGTTGGTAACGATGGAGGTATTTCCATTGAATTGAAGATGACGGGACACTCGATCTCTTCGCTCAAGATAAATCCCGTTGGAGTGACTAAAGACACGAGAAGGATGTACATATGTTTCATTGCTCCGTCAAACAAACTAATATCAGGGGAAAGATCTTCTGGTAATGTTATACAGAACGGGAAGATATGTAGACCGGGACACAACTCTTTGTTCATCGGAGAATCCAATGTCGGGATTGGGAAACTCATGATTTGGTCTTGAACAAATTGGACATATTCATTAAATGGGATTTGGGGTGGCTCTAAGGAATTTGTTTCATCCTTCGCTCGAAGCTCCCCGGCATTCCCAAAGATATTAAACATGGTGTCTTTCCATTTCAATACTATCATTCCGCCACTGACAAATGAGATTTTTTTGACTTTGATTTCAACACGACCAAAATACGGTTCTGATGTGTATCCTCCCTTTTCGATAAAACATCTTACTTCCATCCTTTCGATTCGAGATTATTTTGAAGTTTCTTTTATGAGTTAAACGTGATTGTTTTTATTTGTATTGAATTGAGTAACACGTGACAGTACAATTCACTAAGAATATGTTATTAAGGATTAATTAATTTTCAAATTCGTCATAAATACCGGAAAGATGAAAAATAATATCGGAATACCACATGTTAACCAATTCGTTCTATTTTAATATTTGATTCCGTTAAAAATGGCTATAAATACCAAATGAATAGTATAACCACTAGTAAATAAATAATAAAAATATAGAAAATGTCCACACCATTCAATTCAAAGGATTAACCTTTAGAAAGGAGTCAATAGCGTCATACACATTCTTTTCGTTGATAAAGGACTCTTGTTCCGGTAGTGGTGTAGTGTAGTCTTCCAACATTAAAGGGACTCCACACCAAGCGTGTCCTTTCAACGGGTCGATTTTGACTGTGTCATTGAGTCGATCGAACAAGTCGACGACGTCCGACATGATCTCGTCGACGTGGCAACAGATCAAAGTGCTCAATGAAGTTGCTGGGAAGACGTTTTCGTTGATGATGAAGAATGCGTTCTATAAGTTAAGTCAGAAGTGTACCACACACATATCTATTAGTATGTGTGTGATAATAATAATAACAAACGCGAATTTTAAAGTCGGGGTCATACTTCACTATAAGAAAGATACTCTGTTGGTTCGGTCGTTTGTGCTCAAATACCTTGAATGGCATAATCTTCTCGAGTGACAACTCCTCGGGCGCTATTTTCAAATCGCCGCCTACCGATGTGTAGAATGAAGTCAATGTGAAGTATAAAAATGCGTCGAGGGGCGTTTTAAGGCCGTCCGGGGGGTAATAGTTCATTGCGTTGTCGCACATAGTAAATTGGACTTCTTCCGTCTGCATAGGATAACTGAGAGATTCAAGTTGTGCTGTCTAGTTCACTTTTTTTATTAAAAATACTATATATCATACTATCACATTACAATTAAATAAACTATAATATATTAGAATTAAATGAAATAATTTAATATAATAATTACCATTAAATAAACTATAAAATATTAGAATTACTATTGGAACAAATAGTACAAGATAAACTATAAAAATACTATAAAGTAAAGTAACACTTAGATATCATTGTAAGTGTCAAGAAGGCTCTTCTCGACAGTACAATCGACTATTTTTCGATCAACCAAATTCCAGAATTCACCTGTAGATTGTGTAGGAGTGTTTTTAATTGGTTTCTTCCCATCACAGAAGTCGTCATCTTTTTGTTCGATGAGGGACTCGAAGGGGTTGTTGAACTCTATTGTCTTTGCGATGAGTTGGAGGACACTGTAGATATTTGGCCGCTTTGTCTGGTCGTACGTTAACATTTCTATGATGACTGTTTTCATTTTCTTTGACATCGTCTTCTTCTCTAAACTGAAATTTTTGAATTGAGATAAAGTGATAGGCAGAGAGAAGGGGGGAACCCCCGTGGCTAACTCGAAGAGTAAACACCCGAGTGCCCAGACATCACATTTCCGACTGATTGGTTCATTGTCGTAGATTGCTACCATTTCAGGCGCGATGTAATTGGCGTCTCCAATTTGTTCGACGACGCTTTGAATGATTAAGTGGTCGTTGTCGCGCCGATAATAAAATTGTGATGCTTTGCGCGTGTTACCAAAGTCGCATAATTTGACTGTGAAGTCACTTGAGAACAAAATGTGTTCTTTTGCTATATTAAAGTAGACCAATGCTGGCGAGTGTGCGTGTAAATAAGCGACTCCGCAAGCTATCCCATGTACGATTTCAAACAGCGAGTCTTCTGGTATTGGGAGATTAAATAATGAATTGAGTGTATGTGGGAAGTATTCTGTGAAGAAGTATATCGAGTCTGGATTTGAAGTGTTAGACCCATAGAATTGAATGATATTATTTACTCTCGAGCACTCTGAAACAGTTGTGATCTCTTCAGTGATCTGTTCTAATATATTTTCTTCGTTGGGGCGAAACAATTTACAAGCTAATTGGTGAGGATATCTCTCATTGTGACTTTGCTCGACTAAATACGTTGTGGAGTACCTTCCCGTGTATATACTCGACTTAATCGTGTACTTCGTTTGATTCAAACATACACTCCCGGTGTCCCCCATTAAGGTGGTAATGCCTTTTTGTGTTCACTTAAGTAACTTCTTTCTTCCTACAAAATTTTCTTCTTCATTTGAAAAGTTCTTGTTATACCCAGAAATAACATTTCTTATTTAATAGTATTATTTTATTAATATTTTAACTCGATGAGTTACTAGTAAATTAAGAGTAAATTGAAACTATAAATTGTGGAATAGAATGTCTTTGGTCTTCGATGGATTTTTGTAATGAAACTCTAAATGTTTAGACAAGCAAATGATGGACGAGACACTCCCATTGATCAAAACAGATTCGAACACGATTTTTAATTCATTCTTTGCAACAGCAAACTCCTTCCAAACGCCACTCCGAGCAGAAAAGAATATGGGGACTTTCATGTTTATTGTCAATGTGTTCAACGGCACTTTGGGAATAGGACTGATCATGTTACTTGACATCTTCGTTGAGTGTAAATTGATACTCTCATCTCTGACCTTTTTCTTTGTGTTTATCAATATCGTGTTATCAACGTTGTATATCTTCGACTCAATGGCAAGGACGTCTGGGGCCGCACTTGCACTCGAAATGGGTGGGTTTCCGAAGAATGAGGTTGGGTTTGTCTTTATTGAATTGTGTAGACTTCATATGCATACTTTGAAGAGTTGTAGTAATAACAGGAGTATAATACAACAAGAATAACAGACAGACAAATCATGTTTGACTTCCCGCGGATGCTTTCGTTCTACTTGTACGGCAAAGGGCGGATCCTCTCGTTTTTTGTATCGTTGTCTTATCTCCTCTTTGCGTTGTGGTGTTCTCTCTCTTTCTGTTATAACTCCCTTGACAAGATCATCAAGTCTTTTGGGTTTAAAGAGTCATTCAACTGCTCGATTGTGTCGTTGATCATTGGAGCACCAACGTCCACTGAAGTGTGCTTGGGCTACTACGGACTCACAATTGGATTTTTAATACTCTTTGTGGTGCTGTCAGTGGTGAACCCTAAACTCTTCAAAAGGCTGCAACTTGTCTTCTTTTTGTTTGTTTTGATGCACATGTAATGCGGAAGTCGAGAGATTTGAATTAATGAAAAGGTATAGGATATTGGCATTAGTACTGATGTACACAACACTAATCATCTTTTTCATTGGATCGAACAACTCTAATATAGCCAACACTTCAAGCGCTTCTGATGATGAAGATTGGTGGTGGCCATTATGCAGATATGGGTCGATGTTGTCTGTGTCATTCTTCTCGTTGATCAATTGTAATACAGTGATCGAGTCGACAACACAATCATATACAAAACACCCACTTAGATACACTCTTATTGTTGATCTCATATGTTTTCTGATCTATTTCATATTGTCATTGATGAACTTGTTCTTCACATACAAGACAGGGATCATGAAAGACATTTGGATGGCATACACGGGGCTTGGATCGGGGTGGGAACAGGAGACTGCAACCCAGAAGTCGACGGTGTGGGCAATGGTCATCAGGGTGCTTATCATGTTACTTCCACTCATCACAACAATCTCAATTTACCCATCGATGGTTGCATTTGCCGCACAGTCAATTTATCGATTCTTCAATATACAGACATTCATTATATATCACATGTGGCTTGATATTTTAATTCGCGCGGGAGTGTCGATTATACCAATTCTACTCTGTGTGGTGTACAACGATGCAAAGAAAATACTCTCAATTGTTGGTATGTCTGCTACAGTCATTGGTGGGATGATTCCCTCGCTCATTCAATTTGTGTCTGTGAAACACGTGCAAAAGGTGTTTGGTGTTGGGATGCACGTCACAAAGTATTTCATCAAGTATCTCTCGAGTGCGTTTATTGCAAAAGTTTTGTTTGTTTTAGGAGCAATCGACATTTGCTTTGAGATGATCCATTTCGTTACTTGTTTCTTTGTGTCCGATTGAAGTGTTTGAGCTTCTTGTGTTTATTAATTTAATTGCTGTTGTTCTTGAATGTGTTCGTCGCACACTTATTCCAATGGTATACATCGAATATATTATTGTTGTAAGTAATTTAATTCAGTTACGATTCCTATCAAAGTATGTGCTGTATCAATAAAAATTAATACATACTCACATCAATTATTGTTTATTTGTTGAATTGGGTGTTTATATTTTTGGAAGTTGCAAACTCCTCGAACGACTCCTCTTCGATTTCGGTTGATGGCAGTCGCATTGGAACACTGCAACACGGCGCTACATCATGGAATTGCACAACACCTCGTTGGACTATTGGGACATCAACTTTGGTCTCACTCTTTGCAATTTCGTTTCCACTGATTTCCTCATTTTGTTCCTCATCAAACTCAAAGACTTCTTTCGAAGTGTTAACTCGAATTTTGATGGGTGCTTCCCATGTCTTCACTCGCTTCAATTTTTCTGGTTGTTGTGGTTGCGCGGTGGTTGTTTTGTGAATCTCCTTGAAGTCGTTTCTCACTGTTTCATACTCACTATTTACGATACTTCTTTGTGCCTCAAAAAGCTCTTCCTGTGAATTGACAAATTCTCTAATTTTCCTCTCCTTCTCTTTGAATAAAACATCGATTTTCTCCTGTTTTTTGTTCATCAAAATGCGTTCAAGTTGTTCGTCGAGTTTGTCAATTACTTGTGCGTTCTTGTCTTTGCTTTCGCTCTCTTTGTCCAATGTGTACACTTTGAACGTTTCACTATATTTCATATCCTTTCTTCTATTCTCATTATTAAACAACTCCTTATTCAACACGCCTTCATTGCCTTTAACACAACAACAGTCATCACCACAGTTTAAGCATTTATATATCAAACAAGTAGCTGTTTGTCTGATCGAAACCATTTGGAAGTACGTCATATCAACACTAAATGAAGTGATTGGGTGAGGGTCTTCCCATTCGAATGGGTCTTTGACAGACACAATGAAAGTCGGCGGAGGTTCTCTAAAACTGATCGAGATATTGCCACAAAGGCATTCCACACTCTTTTGCATCAAACTTTGTTTTCAAGTTTTAAGTGTCCTTTCATTCTGGTTCCACAATCTTCCCTCTTCTACTTTCTACTAATGATGGTTTGACACTTTCCATTACAAAATTTTCTCATTTTGATTTACTATAATATTTAATATTTTATTCTATATTTAATTGTTTCTAAAGACCAAAAAAAACAATAAAACGCTCGAAAAATTACGAAACTACTTTTTCATTCTTTATCTTTTTTAAGGACGTCAGATCTATTTTCGTGATTATTTGTTTAAACAAAAAAGTGGAAATTATATGTGATGATTTGTTTTCTTATTTATTTAAGAAATTGTCTTGTGAATAATCAATTAAAAAACACAATCAACTTATCTCATGCAAACTCCTTTTCACACGCTCACTCCGTTTCTCAATAATGAGATTGAGATTGTCCATCTCATTTTGAATATTTAAGTAAAATTGTTGTGAGTCTTCTTCGTCTACTTTCACAAGTTTTGCTGTCACTTTGTCGAAGTTAGGGCGATCTTTAGGATCAGCTCTCCAGCATTCCTCAACCAATTTTCTATAAAGTGGTGGGATGTTTTGATCAAAAGAGAGTCTTTTTCCTTCTTCGACGTGTCTTTTGATGTCGAATATCGATTTAAGTTGTGCATATGGTTCGACTTGGTAATAGAGTTCCCATGCTGTGATAGCAAATGAATAGACATCACCAGCAAACGTGTATTCGTCTTTGAAAGTCTCAGGTGCTGCATAGATAGGTGTGCCAAGTCCCTTGTCTTCGCTGTTAGTAATTGATTTCTTTTTGAATCGCGATGTTCCAAAGTCTGTGATTTTGATAGTACATGCGCTGTTACAGTCAAGTGAGTTGACCAACAAATTGTCGGGCTTCAAGTCCAAGTGCATGATTCTGTTCTCATGAAGAAATTGCATTCCACGTGATGTGTCAAACAACATCCGCACTTTCAATTTGTATGGCATCTTGACATAGTCTTCTTTCTCTTGTCGCAAATATTCACCAAGTGAGCCAAGAATGAAGAATTGGATGACCATCGACACTTGTGGGATGTATGTCACTGACCCAATGTAACTCGCTATGAACGGATTCCTCAGCTTTGCCATCATCTCACACTCAGCAACAACATTCTTCTTCAACTCAGCAACTTCGTCTTCATCCAATTTCTCCCATCGAAACTGCTTCACAGCAACTGCAACACTTCGATAACTCCCCATATACACTCGTCCCATCGCTCCTTCTGCTATTGGCTTCTCTGAAATAGAAAGTTCGTCCATATCAATATGTGTCGAACTCGCCGCATCTGTTGAAATTGTGAGGTAGTGATGGAACCTATTATGAACTGTTTTAGAAATCTTTTCTAATTTTTTTTGTTGTACATTTGTCCATGTTTCAAAGGTCTTGTCTTTTAACAACAGAGCTATTTCACTGAAAATAATTTTGGATTTAGAGAACCAAACAGTGTATGGGATCTTCATCCCTCGCAACTTAGTTGTACAATATAATGTCATATAACATGTGACGCAACTACTTGCTCTTGGTCTCATTATCACAACTTGTGGATCAAAGTGAAACACATATTTTGGAGTATTTGGTGTGTGAAATATGACCATCATATATTTGTTTCTACTTTTATTTTTAACTTGAATTTGCTGGAAATGTGTATCATTTATTTCTGTTGCTTCTGTGCCATTTCCAAAGTCCAATGTAATTGGATCTATGAAGTATAGACTTTCATTTGCCAATTTTTTATTTATCGACCCACTGATATAGAAATAGTATGTTGGTTGTTGTTCTTTAAACACTTCTATGTTGGTCTTTTTATAACGTGTTATAAAGAATATCAACATGGCAAACGCCATTACAAACGCAGGTACAAATACACAACTTACAATAACAACAAATATTGTAAAGTCAACTGAAAGTCCTTTGTGTATACAATCGTTTTCACTTTTTGGATCTGTTATAAACCCGTCAATACATCTACAATCTTTTTGACAATTTGTTCCATTGTCACACTACAATTAAGTTCATCACTTCCTTGTTTTTTATAATAGATAATAAACCATACAAACTTCTTCTGTTCTTATAATATTTCCGTTGTAATCATAATAAGTGTTTTTCTTCCCATTACCACACAATTTTGACAAACATCTTTTGGTTGATGACATGTAAAACCCCCTTGAAGAATCACACTTGCATGTCGGAGTGCATCCTTCACTATTGGGATAACACTCATCATTAATTCCAATTTCCCCACGTGCACATTCTTTCGACAAACATCTGTGATTAACAAGAACCGTTCCTTCTTCGCATCTACAGTATTCGTTACACCTTTCAGATCCAAAGAAACACAAATTATCATTTGGAGAGATCTGCCAGGTGTTGTCATAGTAACACAATTTGTGACAGTTCGAACCTCCATAACCTTTAATGCATTTACACTTCCCTATCGTTGGTAAACATGTCCCAAATCCATGTTTATAATTACAATTTTCATGGCATATTACATAGAACTTGACTACAAAATTAATGCGTTGATTCTCAGAGATAAAAGCAAAATGTCTCTTAACTTTTTCGTTTGCACTGATTGAAACAAAAGCACCAGCCTTTTCGTTTTCACTGAATACCCCATGACGTCTTCCACTCCAAGACTGAATACATTTCAAAGTTGTTTTATCTCCATTTACAATATCATACTCTTGTAAATTGTTCATCTTTCCACTACCAGTTGCGTCAATCACTAATTTCCCTGTTTCAACGAATTCAATATCGAATGCGATATATTTCATTCTATAAGTTGGGAAACAAATAGGTTGCGCAAATGCACCATGTTCTTCAAATGGTACATTCCATAAAATAAATTTTCCTGGATGTTCTGATAAATACATTGTGTCTTTCAATGTCAAATTAAATCTTGGAGGAAAAATCCGACTATTTTGGACTTGAGTTTTTAACTCGATTTTTGCTTTTGATAATTGTCCGAGATGAATGAATATATAAAAATAAAAGTCTTCGGTGTTTCTTTTGGGGTCATTATTATATGGAGAAAAGACAGGAACGTATAATTGCTTTGAATTTGTTTTTGATTCTGATGTTGTATGTGCGTAACAGTCCCCTCTTTGTTTTTTCAAAGAATTTGTGACATCTATGTTAACCAACGACTTATCGACATTTAATTGTGAAAATTCAAAAAGAATATGAGAAGAGTTTTTGATGTTGTATAACAGCTTGAACCACTTACCAAATCTATATCGATCCTTATAATAACAAAAACTAGTGTCAATGTCACTTGACTCATCTATGTCAAATACGACTTTTTCATCGATTTTTATCTCAGTAATAAACTTTTCTGGAGGTAGCCAAGAATCTTTTAATATCAAAGAATTAAATCTTGTGCATTTTGTGTCCTTTTTAATGTAGACACTTGTCATATGCAAATTTCTATTATACCACTCACAAGTCATACAAGAGTTGTCATTATCATATCCAACCATACACCTTCCACATGTGTTATTAGTTAAACATTTAGTGGCACAACCCTTTGGGCAAAATATTGTTGAAGAGTTCATTGAATTAACTATTACAATAATAATTGACAGTATCATATTGTATTGCTTAATCTAATCATTTGATTTGATCTTTAAATATTCTTTAATTTTTCATAATAACAAACATTAAATGTGAATGATAAATATTTACTTGTATTTTTGATTATAATCCAAACACTTTCACGTTGTTTTTTATAAAGTGATATCATTTAGTGTTGTATATTTCAAACTATATTTATTTTAAATGGAAGTATTTATTGAAACAATCAAAAAAAATCAAAGGTGACAATATATTCCAATTAAATAATCCAAAGAATTTATTGCTTTTCTGTTGTCCAAACAATAAAACTGATTGTTTGGACATGTTTGGTAATGAAACGGGTACTAAATTCAAATGCATTGTTTGCTTTCGTAAGGGATTTGATGTTTGGTGCTGTTATGACCATTTCCACACAATGTGTACCAACTGTAAAAAAATAAGTATGGTTTTGATTATTTTGTTTTTTTGTAAATAATAATAAATGGTATTTTCCAGTAGGTCACAACGGAAGGGGATAGAAAATAAGTGACCTTGAATCGGCTTTCTAATGTTGAACACAAATACGAAAATTTACAAATTACATTTACAGTCAGCCGAATCAACCTTCTGCATATTGTTTTTTAAAATCAATTATAATTAATAATATTTTAAACCATTTTTGGTAATATTGTATAACACCAATTTTAGACTGCAGAGGTAAAATTTTTAACTCTTACGTTAATAATATAATTATTTGAAGTTAAATAAAATCCATCAAGAATGGTTTAAAATATTATTAATTATGGTTGTTTTTGAGTACAATAATAATTACATAATAAAATTTGTTTCAATTGTTGTTAACTCTTTGTAAAAAAATCGAAAACAAATATCAAATTATCAATTTAAAACTCACATTTATATATCTAAGCTAATTATCCCAAGCTAAAAATCTTTTAATTGTAATAATCTTAGAATATTTTTTTAGTTTGGGTATTAATTTGCTTGTTTAACATAACATAAAAATAATGCTTGTGTTAAATTATAATCTTGTGTCAATTTAAAAAACGTAAATTTTTGAAGGTATTATCGAACAGTTGTATTTGAACAGTGTCTCAGCTTAACTTTTTTCATCATTGTTGCGATGTTTAATAAAATGGAAAAGGAAAAAGATTGTTAAGAAAATGTATTTTAGTTATTACTCTCACTTACAAGTCATTATCATTTTCATTCTTATATATTGAAAACGTGATTTTTAACATGGTTGTACTATGAAATAAACTGAATTATTCGTATATTTTTTATATTAAGACATTGGCATTCAAATCATAAAACGGTTAATAATTATCATGAAATTTGAATTTTATGATAATTATTAAATAAATTAGTAAAATAAATATTTTTTATATAAATATGTTTTCAATTGTGTTTACATATTGATCAATGTGTTATTTGATTATTTAAAAACCGCCATTTTTGAAAAGTTAACAATATACTATAAAAAACTATCAGTGTGTGGTTCCATTTGTATGCGACTCTATTAGTGTGTGATTTGATCAACCAAAAGTGGCCCACACACCAATAGAATACAATTATTATAATTATTATTATTATTCCCATAATTTTGTCACTAAAACACACAATAATAATGTCGAATGCAAATTTGTTTTTATTTCCAAAAAAAGTTAAGACTTGGTAATAAAATATAAAAAAGAGAAAAAAATGTCAAACAAAAATCAATTCAAAAATTACAAAAGAAGAAAAGAAGAATATACTCCTCTCAAAATATAGAACTTAACTTGAAAATGATAATGCAATATATAATACTTTTAATAATAAAAATAATAATTCTGAACCAAAAAAATTGATAATATGAACTAATCTTGTATTTACCAAAAGTACTCTAACCATACCAAGGCAACCACCAAACCATACCGCCATACATTACTATACTATAAAAAAGACCAACTACTAAATTAAAAAAGTGAGAAAATCTGACTTCCAAATCAGAGTTTTGACCGATAAGTTCAATTCTTTTTGAATTAAGATCTTGTTTAATATAGAGCAAATGCTGGAGTTGTTGCTCGACGTCTTTTAACTGGTCAACAATTTGTTGTATTTCAATTCGTTTTTGTGTCAAAGTTTGTGTTACATCACCCATTTTTTCTCTTTTTGTCAACAATAGTGGCACTTTTTCAAATATTTAAATTGTTCTAATATCATAGGTTAATTGGTATTCTTCATCTTGTTGTATTTGACTTTTTTCAAACAATGTTTGGGAAAATTGTCTAACAGTTGGGTCTTTAAACATAGCATATGCCCAACAATTTGTTATTGTATCTTTTGTCACATTGTTTTCCCAACAGCTCAATGCAATTCTAATTGCTTCATCAATTTGTATGTTGGGAGGCGTGTAAACAGTTCCATTGGTTTTTGCCTTTTTCCAATTTTAAATACATCTCATAATCAGTTGTGTTCTGTAACGGGTTTTAAAGTAGTTGATGATACCCGCATCAATTGGTTGGAACTCTAATGTGGTGTTGAGATGGAGCCATTGAATTGTAATATGAGTCAAACGAACTTTGTTCATGTGCTGATTCTTGTCGTTCTTTTCGATGTATATATAGTTTGTTTCATCTTCCATTCTTTTAGTCAAGTAAAATAATAATAATTCATGTGAATGAGCATTGTCTACTAATAAGTAAATGAAACTGTCAAGTTCGATAAATTGCTTGTCCCGTTATAGTAACCATTTTTGAAACAAGTTTTTTGTCATCCATGCGTTTTCTGTAAAAAGTAAAAATATTTTAGTTATGAATTTTTTCTTATCCAATGTGGAGTCTCTGGTTCGCCAATGAAGAAAAGTTTTTTTCTCACCTGACAAAGAACAGCATGCCATCGTTGTCAAATGTTCTATATATTTTTTGACGCCATAAGCCTTGATACTCTTTTCAGGTGTTCTTTGAAGCATTAAATGGTAAAACAGTGCTGTTTCATCAGCATTCCATACATCCTTCAAATTGAACAACTCAATTTCATGTTTCAAAAGTTCCAACTCAGTTGTGTACTTGTTCGTATAAACAGAGTTTGCTTCACCATGTCTTGTGGCAACATGAAATCCTTTTCTTGAACATAGTTTAGAAAGCCGTCCAACCAAGCATTTGAAATCCTATATACATTTGCACAAATCTATCGCCATTAAACGTAATAATTGACAGTTGATTGGAGTGTTGTTATCTGCCAATTCACCCAAGTACTGGATTATTGCTTCTTCCAATGCTGGGTTCAAAACTCTCATAATAACCTTACTATTTTTCTGTCTCTGTCTATTTTAAATTTTGATTTAAAAATTCTTTTTGTTTTTTCTGTTAATACTTTCCTTTATAATTTGTTGAAACCACAATAAACATTTAGACTGCAGAAATATCTGGTTGTTCTTCGTGCCATTCAAAAACCTTTTTCTTCTCAAGAACAGTAAGATATATAGTCAAATTCAAAAAACGGACTGATAAATGTTCCACTAATAATTAAACATTAAATACCTAAGTTTTAAAATAATCCGATTTTTGGATCAAAAAAAGTTAAGATGAAGATATTCCTTATTTAGTCTTAAATAAAAATTATTTATCAAAGAATATCTTTTTTCGAGCTTATTTAAAATTCGGAAGGTTTTTTGAAGAAAAATAATCCGATTTTTATTTATTATTTTCAAAACAAAATTGTCATAATTAAAACATATGGTAATATACAAAAAATCAATATAAGTTAACTTCTTAATATTTGAAGTTAAAAAATAACATAGTAATTAAAAAGTTAAAATTTAAAAATCAATATTAGAAATAATAATGAAACAGTATTATTTATAATTAAATTGAATTTTAAAATAAATTTATTAAAAATTAACAGTGATATGATTTGTAAAAAAACAACGTCAATTATTTTAGCCAAATTTATACAAATATTTATTTAGATAACAAAAACAATAAATAAAGTAGTAAAAACAGTAAAGTTTTGTAAGTTTATTACATTCCGTTTATCTAATCATTTATTACTTACATTACAACAATTTGAAAGATCTTGCATTTACTTATCATTCAAACAGATCACATTTTGAAGTTATCTGTATAATACAATTAATTAATTTATCTAAAATTGTTTCAAATATAAATATTATTCAAATATGTTAAAAATAATGAAAAGGTGTTAAAATTGTTGTTCATGAAACTTTTCTCATGTTGACTTTAACAATGTAAGAAAACGAAGTCAATAATAACAAAATTATTTAATAAAGATCAAATAATCAAGCATAATCATATGAAAAATATCACGACCACAGAACCAGTAAATGTATCCTTTAACGAAACTATACAACCAAGGTTGTCGATTTCCAAATCAATTGAAAAAATGGTGACAGGGTCTGTGTGGTTGACCGAATTAAACTTTGTTTTCACCACACAACTTCTTTTTGTGACACCTTTAAAGAAGTTATAATCAACACTTTCTCGGATATAGAACAAAGACAACTTGAAGATATGTATGAAAACAAACTGACGACAAATGAAATATGGTGTGAAATCTTAGTTGGTACAGGAACTGGAATACGCGTTACTTTCCTATTGCCTCCAGGTTTTTACATCGAAAATCACAAAAAACATGACACTGTAGATTTACAGCAAATGCTAGGGCAAATTGAGAATAAAATAGAACAAATGGAAAGGTCAATAAACAATATTGGAATATTTAAAAATCATATTGTGAGTCCATTCGCATCTATTGAAGAGAATATCAATCGATGTGTCAAATATGGAATTGACACACCATACAAAATTAGAAAGGAATTTGTTAAATGCGGAATTTCTAGTCCAGGAATTGGGAGATTGTATAAAATATTAAAGGGCGAAGTTTCTAAAAAATGGGGAAGACCCAAAACTGACAGTGCAATTGAAGAATATGTCATGCGTAGGACTTGCAATAAAATTCACGAAAGTTGCAAAATGTGTGCTCGTTCTGTACTGAAAGCCAAACACACGTCTCTTTCATCGTCAACGATTTGAGAATAAGAAAATCTCACAAATATGTATTTTCAAAACCACTACGAACTATTTATTTAACAAAAAGAAATATAATGCAACGTCGTCGATTTGTGTTGTTTCAATTAAAAGAATAAACAATGAAAGAGAACATAACTTGGTGTTAAAAAGAAAAAGAAAAACAAAACTATTTTTTTGGATGAAAGTAGTTTTTCTTGGTGCACAGATAAAAATAGTCCAATATGGAGGGAAAGGGGCGCGTGAACAAAAAATACTTTTCTTTTTCTCCAAAGAAATCTGCAAGTGTGATGGCTTTTGGTATAATTGGTAACAATTATAAAAGTCAATTGGTTAGGTGTCCTCTAAACATGAACTCTTACAATTATCAAAAATGCTCACTGACAATTTTTTAATAAATCAAGTAAAAAAGAAAGGAGGCAAGAATTATCAATTTGTTCAAAACCATGCTCCTTGTCATAATGCCAAATCAACTCGTGAGTTCTTTAAATAAAAAAATTATTCGTATCTTCACGACTGGCCAGAAAGCAGTCCAGATTTAAATCCCATTGAAAATATGTAGGGGATTATGAAGAAACGTATGGTATTAACCCCTTTGATGAAAAAAGAAGACATATTTGATGAAGCACAAAAGGTGTGGAACTCAATACCACTCCATTTTGTTAATAACCTTGTAGATTCTTTTGAATCGCGTTTGTTAAAATGTCAAAAAAATAAATATTTATCTATACCTATGAAATGATTTTATTTACTTTTATTGTCCTTTAGTTTTTGTTTATAACAATTTAAAAAAAATTATAGTTTTTTTTATAAAACAAGTTTCTTAATGTTTTTTAAAAATTGAAAATAAGATAAGAAAATCGGACGCTTTTTTATTCCGATTTTTGAATCAGACTATACATTTTCTTTCTTTATTTTTTTGTTGTTCAAAATCCATAAAATATTAAAAGACGATCTGTAAAAAACAATTCAATACAATGTAATGACAATGTTGTTTTTAAAATGTAAAAATTGAAAACAAAGAAAATACTGTCATCTATAACAACAGCAAATGTTGAGTTTGACCAAATATACGACGGTATTGACTGCTACACACCAATCACAACTGTATGTTTGAATAGATGAACATGAAAATCTACAAGTTGACAATACAGCCAATCGAGAAGGTGTTGGAAGTCAAATTGGACAAAGGAAGCATTGTTGATGCCATGTTAATTGGTAGAAATCAACTCGTATTCCAAAGGTAGTGCAAATGTTGCAAAACTACTCCAATGGAAAAGAACCAAACAAGGGCATCAACCCAGACAAAGCGGTTGTTTATAACGTTGTTCAAGCCGCCATCTTGATAGGAAATGGTGGAAATTTAACAAAACGTGTTGCTTCAAATTTATCAACAGAAGACAATGCAGCATAGAGGCTGATGCCAAAGACGCACTTGAGTTGACAATTGAGAAGAACCAATCCGCACCAAAACAATAAGATATTTTTTAAAAATTCACAATAATATTTCTTGGTTATACGTGTCATGTTTAAAAAAAACAAAAAAATACGTTTTGGTATTTTTCTTGATTGTAAGTTGTGTTATGAATTTTATTATTTTTTTATTTTTTTTGCCAAACAAACAAAAAAAGAAAAAAATACGCACCAATAGAATTTTTACTGTAATCCTCGTTCTTTGTAGGTTTGTAGACAAAAATAAACTATCCAGAACACCTCTACATACTGCAGTCATTCAGAGTCCTCAAATGATAGGTGGGAATAAATTTTTGAAAACTGGTCTTTTGTCAGTTTAGAAACATCGTTTGAACGTGTTTGTTCTTCATTTTCAAGCCAACCGATTCTCATCAACTCGGCCTCTCCCGCCAATTTCCCATAACTCAGCACAACTGCACAAATACCACGAAGAACTTCCCATTCTTTTCCCCAATTGGTAACATCTCTCAAAACTTTGAGCAACTCGCTGAGTCCCCTTTCCCCATTCCATACTTCTCCCAAAATACCAACAAAAATCCTTTTTCCATCAATCCACTTTCGTTGGAAAAGAAGCTGGATGATGCTTCTTAAACTGCTTTTTTCGTTTCGCATACTAACCACTTTCAACGCAATTAAAATTGCCTCTTCGACAATGTCTGGGCGGGAAATGCACACTCTGATCAAGTCTCCCTCATACTGTCTGTACCTTGTGGAGACTAAAGCAAAGACCAAACCAAGTGCTTTAGGGTTTGATAGCACATCCTCCTTCATCCACAAAATTATGCCACAGATTATTACAGACGCCATGCGTTGTGTGACATGTGGCTTCTCAAGCTCGGACACAAAGATATCTGAAATCGAGGACAAGATGTCCAAATCAAATTCGATTCCAAGTATCGAAGAGATAAAGTTGTTTGCTCGTGACCTCCATTTTTTTGGTCCATGGGGCAAATGTGTTTTTGCGAGCGCTGTGTCGATTGAGTCTATCGGCAACATCGCTCCTAATTCTACCAAAGCGCAAATCAAAGCGATGTGGATGTGTACTGACTTGTCTCCCCAGAACTTGTTCACAATCAATGGAAATAATCTCAGCGCATCCTCTGGAAAATATGAAACCAAAATCGAAAGAGATAATTCGAGACTTTCTTTTGCAGCAAGTGCGGGAACCAAATAACTTTCCTCAATGTTTTTCGCCAACGGCATTTCTATATCCGAACCAAAGTTCAAAAGAGAAAAAAGTGTATCTGTCGCCACCAATGCGAGGTCAATTTGCGACATTTTCTGAATCGCCTCGAAGTGTGGGTTCGTGGAGTACCTAACCGCGTGGTCTGCACTAACACCGACGGTTTGACTTGGAAATTCACCACCAAATGATAATGAAGGAAACACATCCGACAAAAAATCGGCAACTAACAAACACGCTTCTTTGGAAAAGTACCTCGCAATACACCTAACCACAAGTGTAGTCTGGGAAAACCCGTGGTATAGCGGGCATGGTATTCTGAGGAGTGTTTGTAATGCAGTGAAAAATTCGTCCTTCAAAGTGTGTACCATTGTTGGTGCGAAACATAGAAAATCAACGACTGGTATTGCCGCGGTTTTTTCGCTCAATTTGCTTAAAATTTGGCTGTCACTGAGGTTCATTGAAATTGATAATCCATTTTGAAATACTCTTGCCGCTGCGTAAAATTGTGAAGGTGACGAATTCTGGTCGATGTACAAACAGTCACAAAACTCATTTGGCGAATGTGTGGGGTGTAATAGAATGATGTGTGAAATAACAGAAATGAGTGGCGCGTCGCAAAATCTGTCCAGTGTTTCAAAAAGTATTTGTGGAACATTGTTGATTAAACCCAACACGAAAAGGGCTGTTTGTCGCGTGTCGGAGTCTTTGTACGAACCACCGACCAAATGAAACAGCTTTCTCAATTCGTCACTCTTCAATCCATTGAACCTATTTTGCACCTCATCAAAAAGTGTTTGTGACAGAGTACTTTTTCGTAGCAAATGGATAATTGTGTCAAAATCCGCTTTTTTCAATATCTCGGGTGTTGAGAGCACCTTGACAATCTTTTCTGAAGTCGATGTAAGAAACTCTGTGTAATTTCTCTTTGGTAAAATTTGCAGTAAAATTTGGAGTGATGCTTTCTGTAATTTTGAAGACCTTGAGTAGCTCATTTCGACGAGAACTTGACAAGCGTTTTGAAGTTTGTCGAGTGGGTATTTACTTAAAATCTTGACAAGAGACTTTTTGTACCGTGACGTCGTTCCTTCCATCAACAACATTCGGAGAATCACCTGCGACGAGTTGTCCATCCCCACGAAAATTCTTGTCAACAAGTCCATGCAACTGTAGTAAAACGGTGTTTTGCGGTGTGGTTGTTTTGTGTAGTATGTGAGGAATTGGTGTAGTCTTCTAGCGAGCACAATCGTAATTTCATTTGTATTCAAATGCTCTTTGTCACACTCATCTTTAAACTTTTCCTGGACACTTCTCACATCAGTCTTTCCTTTCTGAAACTGGTCCAGAATAGAGCCAAGTGTTTTTTGTGCCTTTTCAATATTAATGTTCATTTTTCATGTACTTTTATTATTAAATTCACTTGTCAAATATTCTTTCTTTCCGTTATTTTAATCTTCTGTATTTGAGATTGGAATTACTATTTTTTATAACTAATTTTATTATGAATGTAGTTAATTGTTGACTACTTTCATTGTTAATAAACAACTATTAAACTCAATTAAACAAAAAGCTATATAAAAATAATACCATTTCTTAATAATTATTTATAAAGTAATAGTAAAAAGAATTCTATGTACCAAACTAGATTAAATAGTTTTAAGTTTTTCCACGACGTCGTCTATCTTTATTCTACTTTGAGCATCGAACCTCCACATTTCGTTTAAAAGAGTATATTCTGTTGTAGTGATTTGTTTGAGTTGTTCCAAGTGTTTTCCGGCTGTCACGAAGTCCGCGACCGACCACGCAAATTTGAACTTCTGTTTCGGGTATGGTTCTTCCCAAATGAGACATTCATAGAAAGTGATAGCGAGGGAGTATATGTCACTTGGCATTTGGTACTTTTCTTTCTTTAGTACTTCAGGCGCCATATACTTTGGAGTTCCAATTCCCTTAGTGAAGGTCATGTTGTTCATCAACATATTAACATTTCTTGCGCTTCCGAAATCAGTCAGTTTAGCGTTAATCAATTCGTCGATGTCTAAGGAGAAGACGAGTAAATTGTCAGGTTTGATGTCTCTATGAACTATTCCATTATTATGTAAATAACTAATTCCTTTAGCCATATCAAGTAATAGTTTATGTTGAATAGTTTTTATAGGAATTTCATCGTTTTGTTTGTGTTTCATCAAATCCGCCAAACTTCCATATTGAGCAAATTCGGTGACTAAACAAATTTTGGTGGGAATAAAAACCGCGCCGAAAAAGTGAACGATGAAATCACTGCGAAATTTGTCTAACATCAAAACTTCTTTTTCAAACTCTTTCTTCGAGGACACATCACTACACCCACTCTTTAATCGCTTGATCGCTACTTCATGCCCACGGAAATGCCCATAATACACTATCCCAAAGGATCCTTCCCCTAATTTCCGTTCTTCATGTAACTCGTTGATGTCCAATTTTGTCGTTAAAATCGTCTTTCCAGTGACACTGATTTTGGTCGTCTTCTGCTCGCCCTTTTTGATGTCTAAGGAAATACAAAGGATTGCATCGTCAATGCAACACGAACAATTCGGCTTTAAAAAGACTTCAAATTCACAGGCGTAATTGGAGTCTAATGTAATCAACTTGGGCTCCGTGCGAATATCAAACAAGTCACAACCATCTATCACACTGAACTGAATCTTCAATCTATTCTTCGACACGTTACCAACACAAATCAGTGAACGCGTCTCTTCATCAACAGATATTTCACTGTTCTCATTCGTGTCGCTCTCAAAGACTATTTTCGTCATATTGAAAGCAACAGATTCATTCAAATTGGTGAAGGAGATGTTCGACCGCTTCATATTAAACACACAAATCTTCTTCATCTCTTCAACTCGCTTGTTGTGCTGACGAATGAAGTACCATAATAAGAAGAGTGCGATGGTCACTAACACTATGACAAAGACTAAACTAATGGGAAGGGCTATGACCAATGGCAAATTGATTTGGTCGACACATGAAAGTCCGTCGTCAGAGAGTTTCTTGTCTTTGTCGCACTTCGAACACAAATTGTGTGACTCGGAGAGACAGAAATTGATCTCTGTGTAATGCTTACAAGTGCCGTCAATCAGAATGTAGTCGGAATCACAGAGATTACACACCATTCCAGTGACACACAACGAACAATTGGACTGACATGGATAACACCTCGGAATTATCGTATTTAAATAGTATCGATCTTCACATCGAGTACACCCAAGTTGTGTTTTAGTTATACAGTTAGTCAGACTTGAGTAGGCTTGACATAAATAGTTTTCACTAGTTATTTGGAAGTACCCATTTTTACAGGAAACACATTTGGAATTCTCTTTACACAATTGACAAGTCGAGTCACAAGTAAGACAGTCGGACCGTTCTTTGTAGTACGTCTCTTTGCAAATGGCACACCCAGTGTTTTTAGGCATCATTTGTTGACATCGGAATTCTAAATCTGTGGAGGGTTCGCACTGATTTTGTGCGTTTAAAAATGAGTTGTTGGGACACGACAAACAATAACTCGCATTCACACAAGTCACACAGCTTGTATTCGTACTTGTGCACGTGACACAATTGCTGTACTCATCTAAATAATACGAGTCTTCACATTGAATACACCCTTTTGGTGTTCGTCGTTTGCAATTGTCATTCAATTCACCTTTGACTGTGGTGTTATGAGCATTTGACATACAACTGTTGTTATTCAAGAAGGTGTCTGTTACACACTCTAGAACAGTTATTATATCATCACGTTGAGTGTCAGAAAAAGCGTACTTCACATTTTCTCCATTTGGAAGACAATAACTGACACCCGTAACATCGGAAATTCGATGATATTCACTTTGACAAAGAACACAAGAATATCCAGTCGATTTGTCACAACTCAAGTTACTACTTTCTACACAAGTTCCATTGAATAGAATGTGCGTGTTGATGCATTTAATACACTTTTCTGTATCATATGAAGCACAGCCATCTACTGCTCTTTTGGTACATGTATTTTGATCGATGACAAAGTGTTGTGTTGTTGAACAAGAAACACAGTCATCTCCTTCATATTGTTGGCAGTTGTCGTCGTTAATACACGTCTCAGTGTTATAGTCAACTGAATGTCTATCAGGACAATCAATAACACTTATCGTCTTGTTATAAAGGTTGCACTGTTGTGATTTGGCAGCGCTCTCCGCACAACTTTTGCACTCATTGTTTTGATTCACGTATTCATTCAAAGAACAAGAATAATAGATCCCATTTTTCATTACTTTGTCATTTGGTATTTGAGTGGTACAATTGATAAGATCAGAAGTTGTTGAAGTGTAATTGTCTATACAAGTAAAGCACTTGGAATTGGGTCCGAAGTTGTTTTCAAAGTATTTACAGTTGACGTTACGAGTTTCACACTTCCCATTCACAGACAAAATGTTCTCGTCTTCACACATTTCGCATGTGACATTCGATGAGACTGAACAATTGGTATCATTTTGTGTCACACACGTCCCATTTTGGATATAAAAGTTGTCTTCACATAAGACACACAAAGACTCGTTGAGTCTTAATATGCAATTTGCATTACCTTCTCCACATGTTACGTTGTGTGTTATTTTATCTTTGAGTAGATAATAATTTCCAGAACACAATTTACATGTGTTATTTGTGTATTCATTTAGATAATAAGGGTCGTAACATTCAACGCAAATCAAGTCGTATGTGTCATTCACATTATGACAATTTTTACAGTAGTCCATTCCTTCGTAACACGGAGAACAATTCGTGAGGTTTGTTCTGTAATACCCACTTTTACAAAAACACTCCGTGTTATTTTCATTGGGTTCAAAATTACCACCACATATATTACATGTCTTGTTTGTTTGTGAACACTCAACACAATTTAATATATCAGAGCATTGATGACATGTCTTGTTCTCAGGGTAATTGCCAATTTTACATTCAATACACCCTTCTGTCATATCACACTTGTCTTCTTCACATGTGTCACCACATGGCTTACATTCTCTGTCTTCCAAATATGAAGTATTGTAACAACTCAAACAGTCAGTGGAAAGACTTTCATCACATGCAAAACAAGTCTCATTACATTCGAAGCAGTCGAAGAGAATGTTGTAATAATGGGCATTTTCACAAAGGTCGCATTGACTATGATAACAATGACCAGGTGAACAATGTGAGCATATATTACACGTGTTGTCATACAAATACATTTCACCATCTCTACATGACGTACAATTGTCTTGCGAAGTGTCACATGTAAGACAGGTCGAAGAACATTGCAGACATTCAGTACCATTCAAGTAATATCCTTCTTTACACTTGACACAAATATCAGGAAAGTCTTCACTACACAAGGAACACTTATTGTTGCAGAGAGCACACGTTGTACCATTCAAATAAAACCCTTCAAAACATTTGCTACAGTCATTCTCTTCGTTTGAGGTACATTCTGAACATCCAGTATAACAACTTACACAGTTACTACTGTTCAAGTCCAAGTAAAACCCTTCGTCACACAACGTGCAAATTGATTGTTCTGTTATATTACAAGACGAACACGAATTATTACAACTCAGACATGTGTGCGTTTCATCAAAGGAAAAACCAGAAGCACATGAAGTACATTCTGTGTTGGTACTTCCATGACATTCATTACAAGATGGGTCACATGATATACACTCGGTAGAATTTAAGTAATGATTTGGTTTGCACTTCGTACACTCTTGAATTGATGGACCATAACACTCTTCACATGATGAGTGACATGGGTAACAATAATGATTGTGTATATAATTGCCTGATTTGCATGAAGTACAATTCCCATTTGATCCTCCAAAACACTCCAAACAGAGTGGATAACACTGTTTGCAAGTACTTTCAGAGATGTAATAATTCGAAATACATGAATTACATTCTCCATTGGTTGGACCATAACATGTGTGACAAAGAGAATTACAACTAGCACATACTGAATATCCTTTTAAATAAAACCCCTCATAACATGCGTTACATTTATATCCCTGTGCATCGTAAAAACACTTGAAACAGTTGGTAATTTGACAATCATAACAAGTTCCATACCGAACCGCTAAACCGGGTCTGCAAGTCAAACAATTGTTACTCGCCATCCCAAAACAAGTTTTACAAGATGAATCACACGAATAACACTTTGATATATAAAGGTAAAACCCATTATCACATAGAAGACACTCACCATTTTTTTCACAAGTCGAACAATTTGAAACACAAGGCTCACAAAGTAAAGAATTATCTGTTTGATTGACTTGATAAAATCCTTTTGAACAAGAAGTACAATTTGAGGATTCAGGCCCATTACAAGTTGAACATGAAATGTCACAAGGAACACATTTGTCATCAACTTTATAATAACCAGATATACACTCTAAACAATTCACACCTAAAGGACCATTACAACTGTTGCATTTTGAATCGCAATTTGTGCATTTGGATTCATTCTCATTGTTTGTTGCGTTATAAAATTGAGTCGCACAACTTGTGCAATTGAGATACGAAGTGCCATCACATTTTCCACATGTTTTGTCACATTTTATACAAATTTTACTGGTATCTTTATAATATCCATACCCACATATTTCACATACAAAGGTGTTTTGTCTGGAAAGTGTACATTTCATACACCCACTAGGACACTTATAACACGTAGATCCAACCAAATAATAACCTTCGGTGCATGTTTTGCAATTTCCATTGTATTGTCCCGAACAAGTCGCACATGGTAAAACACAGGGGTAGCAATTATAATTTGATAAATAGTACCCATCATAACAACCATAACAAATGTTATATTGACAATTATTACAATACGCACCACAAGCTGTTTTCATCCCAGATTTTAGATGTGATAGGTGTTTTTCTTGATTTGAAAAGTTTTTATTTTTTTGGTTAATATGATAAG